TGTGGAGAGAGTGAAGGCCACACACGCCTTTATCTTCGGCGATGGAGAAACTTTGAACGTCAAAATAAAAATAGCACATGACAAAATAAATGGGTTAATTGTTGAGGTGGAAGACCCTGTGAGGCTTACCACGGATTACATGATTCGTTTCTATTCGAAAATCTTGGGGAAGATGGAAAGTGAGATGGCCGCTAGCACGCTCCCTAGGATTGGCAAACGTCTACCCCGCACCAAAGGCATCGATAACGAGTATGACTACGACGACGACGACGACCGCACAAGCATGAGAGCCACTCTCCTCAGTGACCCTTGCAAGCCACACGTGCAATATGAATTCAAAGATAAGTAGTTGAAAAGAGAAAATTGATAGATGTAATAAACGATGTAACGTGTCCCAAATATAAGAGTGTGCAAGTTTTATAATGCCACAAAAATAATTTTATTTTAAGTATATTAATGAAATTAAGATATTATATTAAAAATTATGTTCATTTTTAAAATCTATTTAAAATATTTTATTATTTTGAAAAACTGCTTTTCAGGATATTAAAATTATAATTTTTAAATAGAAAATCCACATAGTTTATTCATACATATGATGAAATGGGTAAGAAGAAACTTTTTAACCTATTTGTTATTCATTAAAACTTATTAAAAATATAAACGGTTTGAAAGAGAATAATTAAAATAAATTAAAAATGAGACTTACATCAATTTTGTAATTTTTAATAAATTTTAATTAATAATTAAAAATATTTTAAAAATAATATATTATTAACACTTCTCTTCTATGATTTTAATACACCAATATTATAAACAAAATATAAATCACAATTATAATACCGTTCATATACTGTTTATCATCATCTTCCTTGAAGTTTTTAAATACTAGTCATCATTTTTTTCTTTAGAATTTTAATTTTAGCTATTTTTCACTTTTTTTCATCATCTTTTTTCTCCTCTTTCCTTCTTTTTCCATCCAACCCAACGCATTCTTGATTCCACCAACCTTGTTGTCATAAGATTTAGCTCACTAGTTTTACCGTCTTCTCCTTTTCCATTGTGGTGTACTCTTCCTTTTCCTTTACCACTTTGAATGTTGCATCACTCTCAATAATCCTTTCATGGATAACAACAATTTCTCTTGCGTCAATGAGGATACGACATTCTTCCCTTGGTGTTGCTACAAGAGAGATTGAAGAAGAAGATGGAGGGAGGAAGAAATGAAGGAGAAAATTAAAATTAAAAATTTAAATAGAAAGACAATGAACAATGCATAAAAATTAACAGTGCATGTGGTAGAAAAATATGAAAAAAATATATTAATAAAGTTAATATTTTTAATAAAAATTAATCTATTTAAAAATATTTTTAAGAATTAAATGATTAAAAAGAATTCAAATAAAGTTGAAGGACAAAATTGAATTTGATTTTTAAATTAAAAAGATAAACATTAATTTTACCTTTTTATTTTTTTTAAGAATACAATGTTGTAGTTTTTTGAGAAAAATATAGGTGGAGATTATACAATATATAGATACATGTAATGTTACAATTTTATAACAGAGAAAACACATTACTCCCCCTTAATTACGTGATAGTTATATTTATTAATCCCAACATGTATCAGATGTTTTTAATTTTGTCCTTATATATAAAATAATTCATAATTTAATCTTTGATCACAAAATTGTGTAATATATATATATAGAAAATGATTTTCTTGTACTAATAAGTTTAAAAAAACTCTTACATCAAATTTAAACTTTTTATTTAACTTAAATTTAACAACAGTAAAGTAATAAATTATAACCTATTAAATTTAAGTTAAATAAAAGACTTAAATTTAGTGTAAAAATTTTTAAATTTATATTAGTATAAAAAAATTCTACTCCTATATATATATATATATATATATATATATATATATATAAACACGGATTAACGCCCCATCTTCTTCAAGAAAAAGATATACAATGCTATAACACCATTATAATGATTTAAACATTGGGACTAATTTTAAATTTTGGTCAAATTATATTATTTATCTTTGAAATTTTTTATTTTAATCTTTTAACTTTTAAAATTTTTATCTTAGTTTTTTAAGTTTTAAAAATATGTTATATAAATATTTTTCATTAAAAATATTAAATTTGTTAGAATTAATATTTATCATTTTCTTTTCTGCAACCTTTTCTTTTGTTTTTTTAATTTTTTTTTTTACTTTCTTCTTTCTCCTTTCTCATAAACAATCCATACTCATGAGTCTCTTCGCACACACCAAACGAACATATCCTAATCTACGCCACGCGAATCTTTCTCCTCAAATTGAAACCAATGAAACGTTACTTCATCGCTGCAAAACTCATCCTTCAAATCTATCCACCTCATATACCTTCGAGTACTTAATGAAGAGAAAAAAAATGAACCTGTAGATCTGAAAAAGAAGATAAACAATATATGTGAAAGTAAAAGATATATATTTTTTTCAATGGAGATAATGTTCTAAATAAAAAAAGCTTATTTAATTTCTTTTTGAATTTTAGAAGATTAAATTAAAACTTTTAAAAATAAAAAACAAAAGTAAAAAAATGTAAAAATAAAAGGACCATTAATATAATTTTATTTTCATTTTTTTATATGTAAAAAATTAAATTAAAAAAGTTATTTATGGAGACTAAATTAAATCGTGATACATTTCAAAGAGAGAGAAAAAAAATTACATTTTAACCTATTTTCAAATTGAGAATTCATAGGTTAATTTAAAGGCTTATGTTATGCATTTTCATCTTATCCAGTCTGAAGTTCATTTGACGGAATAAATGGTTTTTAACCTAATTAGCCTATTTTAAAATATTTTGTAACCTATTTAAAAAGCCTCGTAATCAAGTAGTATAATCCTACTTTTATAAAGTTGTGTAGTGTAGTCCTAGTGGATCATAAGTGTAGTGTTCTTGTTTAATATTAGAAGTGGATAAGTGGAATCCCAAATTAATATGGCGTTGAATAATAAAATTAAGGCAAATATTCAGAATCTCATGCCATGCAACTAATCTTCAAGTTGTATTATTATTAATCTTCATCAAATATTAGTAAGAGATAATATAAGCAACTACAGACAAAGAAAGATAAAAACCAATTATTATATTTCAAACTTAATGTTTGTTTTACACAACAAAACCAGTCATTATATAATTTTCTTAAAGCATAATAAATCTATTCTTCAGCATTGCACTGCATACATTTTTATCAGATAAATATGTATAATTAGTAAAATTTTTGTACATTGATTAAGTATTTTAAAATTAAAAAAATTTAAATAAAAATTAATGATATATTACACAATTACTTTTAAATTACATAAAAAAATATAAATAAAAAATAATGAATATTTTCATTAATAATTATAGTATATTTTTATAATAAATAAGACAATTATAAAATAAAATAAAATATTTAAAGTTAAAGAAAGAAATTATAGAAAATTTAAAATTTAAATAACAAATTAATATTAAATTCAAGTTTTTTTTTCCTTAAAATATGGTCAATTCAAAAGAAGCTACGTTTACAATGATTAATAGTGATGGGAATACTTTTTAAAAACATTGTCATTAAGATATGATATAATTTAATAATTAAATTAATTATTAATGTATATAAAATTAGTTTATATCGTGTCAAATTTTTTATATAATTTAATTTTTTTTATAAAATACAAAATTTACTATTCTAACTATTGAAATATTTAATATTATTTTTATGATTACACATTTATAATTTAAACATTTGTAAGCATACATGTTATCTAAAATTTTATATTTTTATGTATATTTTAAAAAATATGTTACATGTTTGAAATATTTATACTCTTGCGTTGATGGAATAGAATATATTTATCTAATCCAAAAGGAATACCGATTCTATATTATCATGATAGAATAATCGATTTTTTTTAATAATATTTTACATTTGTTTTCTTTTTGTTGTAGATATTTTTTGGGAGTATATAATGTATCAAAATATGAGCAAAAAAGTACAGGGTATATGACTAACTACCGGAGGAAAGAGAGTACTATATGTGATACACTTAAACTCAACTGTCCACTCTAATTTTATAATGTGGCATTATATAATAATTTTAACTTTGTCCAAAGGTGAATTTCAGCGTAAATTATTTAAAATTAGTCTATAATAGATCAATAGATAAATTATCATTGGGTATATAATTTCTTTTATGAAGGGTCAGAATAAAAAAGGTATATATTTAAAATTAGTATAGAGACTGATTGTATTAATTATATCTAAATTTGATTTTTAAATTCTAATTTTTATTTTGATGGTATCCTGTAATAATTCACGAGAATGTTGGAAAGTAAAACATTTTGTCTAGAAAATTGGATAATTATTTATATATTCAAACTTTTCCTCATTAATTATGATTAGTAAATGGGAAATTTCTAGAAAATCTGGAGAAACTTTAGTAATATTTTTATTAGTTTGCATTGGTTTATTAAATTAAATTCAAATTCATATTCTTTTACATTAATTGTAAGTAATCATACTTAAAATTTTAATATTTATTTTAATTTTATTTTATGTTAATTTATAAATATTTTAAATCTTATACTTTAAAACATAAAATGTTCATAAATAACTAATATCCACGAATCCCTTCATGATATGGGTTTCAAACTAGTTAAGTACTCCCACTAGTCTACTCTTTTTATAAGTAATTTTCAATTAAAAACTAATATATATTTTTTTTTTCTAAAAAATTATTATAAAAGAATTGCGGGAGTATATCCACCATAGAATGTGCTTAAATTAGCAGCATGACACGGGGGAAAGAATTTTGTGCGTTGTCTCATCTGGGTCACTTTCTGCTTTGCAGTGGTTCTTTTAAGATATATGCATTGCTTGTTTTTAACGCTGCGAATTTGTCCGTACGTAGGTTTAGCACTTTCACCTATAAATTAAAAGAGCAACGGTGCAAGGCCATGATGAATTGTGAGGGTGTCGAATAATAAAAGCAACAATGCAAGGGCCAAATAGGAGTGTTATTATGCTTAAATCTGTAGGTTTTCCTTTGGAAGTCAACACCACCATGCACAAAGGCACTGACAACAAAACGGGTGTGTTCTCTGTGAACAGATGCATGACATACACACTGGGTAGGAGATTTGTTTCTTTGAACATAACTTTGACGGGCAAGGCCGATCGTGTAAACAATGTACTCCTCGAAATCTTTGAAAAAAATGGTATGAATTCTTCTGCCCATTATACCCTACGGATCATAAGAAATGATAAATACGGTGTTTTATGTAAAATGAATAGTCGCCTTTCGGGTTTTTATGATTCGTATAAGGACCATTATTGCGTGCCACCATTATCAAACACGGAAATTTTTTATTACTTTTGTCATGAGAATCGTTTAGGAGGTTTTTTCTTTCTTGAAAAGAACGTTATCAATGAAGTTGTGGAGAGGGTGAAGGCCACACACGCTTTCGATTGTGGCGATGAAACTGTTAATGTCAAAATAAAAGTAAGGTATGACCAAAGAGTTGGGTTGATTGTTGATGTGGAGGACCCTGTGAAGGTTACGACGGATTATACTATTCATGTCATTAAAAGAATAAAACGAAAGATAGAAAGTAAGATGGAAGATAGCACGCTCTCTCTTTATAGAAATGTTAACCGTTTACCTCCGCCGAATGGGAATAATGAGAAGCTTGTTGATGATGACTACATGGACGATGAAGGAGATCAAGATGAAGACGAAGAAGAAGAAGATGAAGACTACTACTAAAGGATAACCACCATTTAATAGAGGATTGATTGAAAAAAATAATAGTTAAGACTCTGATAAAATAAATATATTTGTACTCCGTTTTAATTAAAAAAAACGCGTATGTAGTTCAAATTTTATCTGCTAATTTTTTGAATCCTTTTGTATTTTTATTTTATTTTATCTCAATAATAATGGTAATGTAAAAAACTAAATGGGATCCAAATAGAATATGAAACAAGATTGAATTAACTTGACGTGTTCACACATCAATGTCAACGTTTTAAAGTTTATATCCGAATAAACTTTAATTTTACTTTTATATTTCATTACTTCTATGATTTTAATATATATAATATTCGGAATGATATATTGAATTAACCTGATCTTGTGCTAATATTGTCCGATCATGATTAGATTAGAAATGCATTAGATGTGTTCAGTACTTAGCGTAAGGGTTGTGTTGAAATATACTACATCGGTTAAAAATACGATTATGAAGGGTAAAAATACTCTTTATAGAGTTGTCTGGGAAACGATTTTTTTTTTAAAGTGTTGTCTTTAAACAAAAACTCGTGATAGATAAGTAAGTTCTCTCCCCCGTAAAGAAGTGTTTTATCATAATTGTTAAAATTTTGTTGAAAAAGGTAATATATTTTAAAGAAGGTTGAGCTATTATTACCGATTATCAGTTGATTCTATTAGTTTAAGATTAAAACACGTGAAAAAAATCATGAGAGATAAAATAGTAACAGTTACGCAAAAATGCTAAACGAAGTTGCAAAAGGAACTCACAATAAAAAAAAAGTTAAAAAATTATTTATAAATAAAATTTTGTTTTATGTTTTTGGAGGTTACGACTTTTACTGTGCACTATACAAAAATATTTGTAAGTTAAAGTTCTATAAATTAATTAGAATTCACAACTTGAGATCAAGGACTTGTAACGATTGTGATTGAAAGTTGTATGTTTATATTAATTTAGATTCAATGCATTTTGTTTCTTTAAACCTTTATTGTATTGCAATTCTTCTTCTATTGCTTTTTGCTCTTGTTTAATTCTTGCCTTAGTTGTGATGTTAACAATAATATTAAGAACACACTTAGATAATTCAAAAAGGATTTAAAATTTAATTCCAAAACATTCTTGGATTTATGTATTTACTAAATTACAATATTTAATGTAAACAAAAACTTAAATAAAGGTGAAAGTCATTCAATAAATTTCACACAGAAGGTAGAATCCACAACATATTGATCATTTACATATATCATACTACGAAATTGCTAATTGTAATTTTTATATTAGATCTACTGTTACAAAATTTTTAATGTATTTTTAAACACACACACACACACCCACACACACACACACACACACATATATATATATATATATATATATATATATATATATATATATATATATCTTCTTTATCATTGAGTACATGCCACCCAGATACACACGAGAGAAATATAGAATGAGCATAGTTTTTATTTTAAGCATATTATAATGATAAATTTGGAGCATATAATCATAAAAAATTAATTAATATTAAAAATTAGCTAATAATCGCATAATAACAAAAAAAAAATTGGTAAACATAATTTTTAAAATGTTAACAATTCAAATTATTCATATACATTACTTGTATTTTTAATATATATATATATGGCAAGGTTCAAGTTATTTTATTTAATAATTCTTTATAAACACTACATTTTATTAATTCAACCGTTGAATAAAATTATATGTTCATATTTTATAATCAACATTCACTTAATTTATATTTTAAAATATATACTAGAAGTTAAAATAAAGTTATTTGATGAATTGTTAATTTTTTTTTATGATTTTTTTATAAATTTGATTTAATTGAGAATAATTTTTAGTTTTATGGTTAAATTGAAAAAAATCTAATATTTATAAATAATTATTGAGTTTTGTTTATAAATTTGATTTAATTGAGAATAATTTTTAGTTTTATGGTTAAATTGACAAAATCTAATATTTATGAATAATTATTAAGTAGAGTAATTTTTACGAGAGTTATTGTTGAAATAATTTGATACTCTAAGCATATGTGTTTATAAATTTTTATATTAGTTAAATTCTTTCATAGATATTCTTTTTCTTATGTTTGACATTTGAATAAAATTGAAGAAAAAATGATATCAATGTCCCACATGAAATAGAGAATAGTCCAAAAGAAGAAAAAAGCATAGGTGATCGTACTGTCTACGAGAGAAAGAGTTTCATACGTGTTATCCAGTTAAACTCAAGTGCTACACTCCAATTCTAGATACATAATCCCACTGTTCTTACAAATTTAACGATCGCACAAAACTAAAAAAATTCTAACAATTATTAGATCACTAACAATTTAATTGCATGTCGAGATCACAAGCATGAAGTTTCTCATATTATATAATTGTTAGCACTTGGCAAAAAATTTCAAACAGTTTCATACGATTTGGTATAAGATTAATTACAAAAACTTTTTAACGTATATCCATGACTCCTAGAATTATAAATCTAGAATTAACGGTAATTAAGCATATCCAGCTTTTTTCCATGGTTAATTAGATGCTTAAATTAGCAGCACGAGCCGGGGGAAAAAGATTACACTCTTTCTTTGGGGTCACTTTATTATATTCTTTTAAGATATATATGTGTTGCTTGGCTTTAACGCTACGAATTGAACATGGCTTCAGCACTTTCACCTATAAATGAGCAAAAGTGCAAGGCCATGATAAGTGTAGCCTCACAGATTAGAAATATGGGAAGCTTTGCATCAACAATGCAAGGGATTAAGAGTGTTATGCCTAAGTATGTGTCTAAGTGTCCTCCTTTGAAAGTCAACACCACAACGCACACTGACAGCATAAATGGCGGCTTCACTGATAAAAGGTGCTTCACATACACACAGGGTAGCAGATTTCTTTCTTTGAACATAACTACGATGGGCAACGCCAAAGGTGTAAGCAATGTACTCCTCAACATCTCCGAAAACAATGGTAAGGGTTCTTCTGCCATTTTAAACCTGCGGCTCATGAGAAATGACACGTACGGTGTTTTATGTAAAATGAGTAGTGACTTTTTGGGTTCATATAATTCGTTTAAGGATCATTATTTCGTGCCACCTTTGTCGAGCACAGAACTTTTTCAGTACAATTGCCACGAGACTGGTTCAGCAGGTTTTTTCATTCTGGAAAAGAAGATCATCAAGGGAGTTGTGGAGAGTGTGAAGGCCACACACGCCTTTGTCTTCGGCGATGGTGAAACTATGAACGTCAAAATAAAAGTAAAATATGAGAAAAGAGTTGGGTTGATTGTTGAGGTGAAAGAGCCTGTGAAGCTTACTGTGGATCATATAATTCATCTGATATCGAGAATCGACGGAAAGATGGAAAGTATGTCGGTCGCTGGCGCTCTCAAAAAACCCAACCAGCTGCTCCCATCTATAGACGACGAGGAAGCGGTGACTGTTGGGCCTGACAAAATTTCGGTGGCCGGCGCCGCCTTCAAAGCAGACGGCGAGATCCAATTTAATAATTGATTAAGTCTGAAAAAATAAATATAAGCGTACCTAGCTAAAAAAAATTATGAGGTTTAATTTTTACTTTATTTATTTATTTATTTTTATCATTCACTTTAAGGTTTTTACACGATAATTAATTAAGAAATCGAAAACAAGTAGTATCATTGATAGGGGATACTCTTGCTTAAGTTAGGTAAGTTTGCTGCGAGCAGTCGAAACTTTGAATATTTAATATATCTGCTATTCATGAATTAAATATGAGATCATTTGTTAAACTTAAAGAACTCGATCCGTTGTAAAAATTATGGATAAGTATATTTATCAATATATAATAAATTCTCAAAAACATCATCTTCCACGCTACACAATGATTATTAAAATTATTAATCTTCAATTATTTAGGTGATCAAGATTGACGATTATTAATGCACAAAGAAATTAAATATATAAAAAAGAAAGAATAAAAAAAAAAGCAACTAAGTAACAGTTAGGAGGTTTAGTTATTATGAACAAAGATGGGGAATTTTGACTTAGTTGTCTGTTTATCAATTATCAACTTTTTTATTTTAAATTCATTAATTACTCAATGATTATATAATATTGTTAGTATTTTTTAAAATTACATCTTCAATTATTATGCAAGATATAAAATTAGAAAAACATAATGTTTCAATAAGTTTGATGATTTAGTAACTAATTTAGGATTAAGATTAATTTTACAAAATCTTGAATTCAGTTTCTTTTATAAGTCCATTAATTGGCAACTAACTTTAATAATAATAAGGTTGATTCCTTGATAACAATTAAAGCAAAAAAACAAACGCTATGGCCTATGGAAAGAGAAATATGAATTCATTGAAGAAAACGAAATCCAGATAAAGCTCACAACATGAGGTCTATAAAATTCAAAATTTAAATATAAGAGAAAGAAAAAATAGGTCAAAACTTACAACAAAATAGACAAAAATGAAGCATAAAACGAATCTCTGTCAAAATAGTTAGGGATTGATTGTTCGATTTGAATTAGTTTTTCTTTGAAATTTCTTTCTATTCAATAAAAAAAAAATTACAGTTCATAAATTCAAATATATTTAATAAAATTATTTTTATTTTATTATTTATATGAGAGTAAATTAGAAAAAGAAAAAAAATTGAACATATATTTTAGGATATTTATCATTTTGTTTGTTTTAGTTTGACTTAACATATGAGAATTAAAAATTAAGTCAAAACTATCTAAAAGAATGTGATTGTTTAATTAATAGTTTTTTTAATTTCAATTTGTTTTTATTAATTTAGCGGTTAAAATAGTTTGAATAAGTTTATATATATTCTTACTAGTCTATTACTAACACTGTTGTAAGTGCTCTAAGGTTTAGATATCTCTTATACTCTTAATTAATAAAATTATGTGGCTTAATTTTATTGGTTTAATTAAATTATAACTTATTTTTATTATATTTATTTTTTATTGTAAAAAAATCTTTTAACATTTTTTTATTACATAAACGTCTTTAAAAAATTATCAAAGAACTTATAGCTACGATTCTGTTCTTCTTTTTTCGCTTAAGCTTTTGAATAACTTTTTTTTTTATTTCTGATTTTCTAGTTAAATTTCTTAGAGATGTTTGAATATAACTTAATTTTGTTGTTTTTGTGGTTTGGATTGAAATTTTAAAAAGTCAAAAACTAAAAATGGAGAATAGGGCAATGCCTTCAAAGGTTTTTGCATAATTTAATCCTTGCAACATGTAATTATTAATTAAAGCTTCAAAATTTTTCAAAGTTTCAAGGATGAGAGGTTTTTGAAAGAAGAGCAATATAAGTGATTCAAGGATTATTTCTATTTTTATCACCTCATTCAACTCTATCTCATGCCTCATTCTTTTTAAATGCATTATGTGTTGAAATTGGATAGTACCGTAATAAAAAATATGTGCTAAAAGAGTTTCCTAGACATGGAACTTTCCTCAAGAAAGTTGTGTATTATGAGTGTCGATTGTACAGAGTTAAATTCAAGGATGGTGATTTTGAAGATTTAGATAGTAGTGAAGTTCGAGAGATTCTCTTCAATGATGATGAATTTAATATTGATTTAGCAAATAAGAGAATTAAATTAGAGGAATTAGTGTCACAAAATAATGCAAAAGTAAAAGATATTTCGGAGAAGGGCTCTAGTGAAGCAAATAAGGAGGAATTTGTGGTTGATGTGCCTATTTCAAGTAATTGAATGGTGTATCATTGGGTAAAAATGACAAGGAAGAGGATGATGATGATGGCGTGGATGCTGATTCTTCGAGTGACTCTAGTGCAGGTTTTAGGGATACAGATTTTGGGTCTGATGTTGAGACACTTCAACCCTTGCTTCCACCATTATAGTTGATGTCGCTTATTTCTATTGCCTTTTACTTTGAATGAGTTTGTTGGTTGCCTTAATTGCCAAATTTTAAACACTTTGTGTGATGCTATTCACGTTTCGCTATTGCGGGTATTGCAACATTATCTTGAAATCATCTAATCTGAAGGCTCTAAGCTTGCATCACAATGTCTTAGGTGCTTATATTTATTCATGTGTTGCTGTAGGATTGCGTGAATAAGTAATTTGTTTATACTTAAAGGTATTAATCTTTTCAGCAAGATCATTTATAGTTGAAAATATATTATACTTGATATATTTGCATGTGCAATGATTGGAACTTGCTTGATATATTGACATAGCCTGTTTTTGTGATTCAAAATTTAGTAGTTAATGGATACACAAACACACGTGATTGGAAAAGATTTTATGATGAGATTTTTAATGGCAAGTATTATTTGATGTCAGTAAGTAGAAAATTAATGATAATGCAAATTCTATGTGATGATATTTTGAAATCTGAAGAGCTAAAAATATAAATGAACTTACATAAAGAATCAGAGATTGGGACAAATTATGATTATGAGGCAGAAAATATCGTTCCTTCGTAAATTGAACAAACAAGAGTTTCAGCATCAGAGTCATAGTTCTAAGTTATATGATTTAGGGTTTATAAAAAAAAATGTGAAAATGAATTAATAAATAATATTATATTTAAAATTGTGGTAAAGATGTAGACTTTATATTTTTAAATTTGATTTAAAATTTAGAAAAGAGAAATTAGTAAATAATATTAAATTTTAAATTAAAAAATCATTTAGTAAATTAATATAAATATCCTAGCTAAAAGATTAATAAGAAAATATATTTTTCTTAAATCCTTTAAATATAAAATTAAATTTATATGTTTAACCAAAGCATTGTATACCTCCTAAAAAAAAGAGCACCATAGATTTTGTCATCATGGAATTTCTAAAAGGCATAAGGGTTTTGATTGATATTTTACCTGGATTTTATTTAATAACTAAAAATATGAAATAATTCTACATACTAATACTATTTAAAAATAGAAAAGAGAACATGGACGGACATATGAACGGGAATTCACCTCCCTCCCTGTGTCCGTCTCTCCCTCGCTAATGATGATTTACACATATCGTTCTAGTTTATTGGACTGCATGTATATGGATCAACTCGATTTTGAATTTCAACAACACAAAAAGGCATAAAATATCATTAGAATAACTCTTTCTTTCTTTCTCTCTCTCAAGAATATTTATCTAATCCAAAAGGAACATTTATCATATATTATCATAATAGATTTATCAAATTTATGTATAAATTTTTATATTCGTTTTCTTCTTGTTCTGGATCTTTTTCATAATATTGACATTTAAATCAAATTTTAAGAAAACTGTTACATGTTTCACATGGAATAGATAGTAATACTCAAAAAGAAAAATTAGGTAATTTAACTATCTACGGTATCGAGGATGACAACACTACATGTCACGAATTTTATGTCACTTTCTTATCATGTAGGGGGTTCTTTTAACATATGTGCATTGCTTTGTTTTGACGCTACGAATTTTGTAGGTATAGTTTCAGCACTTCACCTATAAATACGCAACGGTGCAAGGCTAAGATTAAGTGTGAGCACACAGAATATCAGCAACAATGGAAGGGAGTAAGAGTATGGTGCTTAAGTTTGGGGGTTCTTCTTTGCAAGTCAACGCCACCACGAAGAAAGGCAAAGACAACATGAGTAAGTGCTTCACATACACACGTGGTTGGAGATTTCTTTCTTTGAACATAACCCTATTAGGCAACGCCGATCGTATAAACAACGTACTCCTCGAAATCTCCGAAAACAACGGTAAGGGTTCTTCTGCCAATTTAGGTCTTCGGGTCGTAAGGAATGACAGGTACGGCGTTTTATGTAAAATGAGTAGTGAGTTTTTGGGTTCATATGATTCGTATAAGGATAACTATTGCGTGCCACCTTATCAAAACACGGAACTTTTTCATTACATGTGTCATGAGACTGGTTCAGCAGGTTTTTTCAGTCTAGAAAAGAAGGTGAACAAAGAAGTTGTGGAGAGTGTGAAGGCCATACACGCCTTTGTGGTTGGCGATGAAACCTTGAATGTCAAAACAAAAATAACATACGACAAAAGAGTTGGGTTGATTGTTGAGGTGGAAGACCCTGTGAAGCTTACAACGGATTATATGTTTCATGTCTTTTCAAAAGCTGTGGGGAAGATGGAAAGTGAGATGGACGCTAGCACGCTCCCTGGGAATGGCAAACGTCTACCCCGCACCAATGGCATCGATAACGAGTTTGACTACGACGACGACGACGACAGGATAAGCAGGACACTTGTTGCCAATAGTTACCCTTGCAAGCCAAACGTGCAATATGAATTCAAAGATAACTAGTTGAAAAGAGAAAATTGATAGATGTAATAAACGATGTAACATGTCCCAAATATAAGAGTGTGCAAGTTATTATAATGCCACAAAAATAATTTTATTTTAAGTATATTAATGAAATTAAGATATTATATTAAAAATCATGTTCATTTTATTTAATTTTAATAGACCAAATTTTATTAGTTTATTTAAGATGAATTATTTACCTAATGAAATAATTTAGATAAATTCAAAAAATAAATAAAAGAAAAAATTTAAATAGATATTAATATTGTTAATTAAGATGTTTATAAATGAATGTTGATAAATATACAGGTATGTAAAATATATTATAAAGTTAAAGTTTTAGTTGTTATATTTATCAAATTATTCAAAATAAATTATTTATTTATATTTTTAAATATATTACACGTCAATATTACTTTTGATCAGATATTTGCAAGTGACTAATAAAAGTAATCTACTACAAATTAAAATTAATTTTTAAAATATTCCAAAACTGAAACTTCCGATCATCAATATTTTTAAATTATAAAGTTATTAAAAATATGGTTATTTTTTTTATTAATAGTTATATTATATACTCCACTCTACAACATTTGCATATGGTTATAATTCACTGGTAAATATATTGTGTATTGCACCGAGGGGGTATTTCTAAACGAAAAGAGTATGAATAATACAATTTTTATAGTACCTTTTGTAGATCATTCTTTTATTAATTAAATTTATTAAAAGTCATAAAATTATAAACAAAACTCTTTAAATAGAGTATGACTTCCGTTATTTTGCAAATATCCATAAAATTCAGCTAATAAACTTAAACATATTAAAAAATACATTGTTTTCCTAGTAATAACAATATAAACTAAATTATTAAAGAATGTTTATGATAATGCAGTTATAATTAACAGAAATTACTTATTGATGATTTTAAAATATCTTTTTATACTTAACATTGTGTTATAACAAAATGTATAAATGATTAATCAATTAATTTTGGAGGTTGTAAAAATGGGTTATATTGGTACATTCAGGTCAGTTAACTGCTTGCATCGAACTTTAGTAGGTTGAGAAAAAAAAAATGTATTCAATTTGAGTTTACAATTATGATGTTCAATGGCAGAGCCTTCGGGTGGATTGAAGGTTTCTGTGAGTTTAGTTTACATTGAATTTGATTCGATTGAGTTAATTTAAAAGGTATATATTTAAATTGAGGGTAGTTTTTTACGCATTTTTTATACTGTAATAATTTTTTTATAGTTTTAAAAATATTCTTAACAAAAATTTAAATTATTATATAAAAATATTTTCTGGAATTAAATAATGTTCAAGTTTTTCTATTTTTTATTTTAGATTTTGAAATAAATTTTTTTAATTTTATTTTCACCCTTTGTCTCTATTACATATTTTTCTTCTCTTCTACTTTATGTTTCGTTATTCTTTTGTTACCACCTCGTTGAGTATATTTTTAGTACAACTACTTTTTAACTATGTGAACTTTATTAAATATATTATAAAAAACTTGATTTATCATTAAAGATGATATGTTCATTGACAAGTAAACTCTGACATTTTTTTGGGAATAAGTTTTTGTAATTAAGATTTTACACTTTAGAAATTAGACTTTCACACTTCTATAAATTAATTTTTAAAAAACAAGTTTCTAAAATTAGGATTATACACTTTTAAAAATGAAAATTTAAAATTAAGTTAATTTCTAATTTTATATTTCACATTTTTAGAAATTAATTTCTAAAATTGCTAATTATTTACAAAATAAGATTCTAGAATTTTGAAAATAAATTTTTGAAATTAAATTAATTTAAATATTTAAGTTTTCACACGTTCGTATATTAATTTCTAAAATTATCAACTATTTTTAAAAAAAGATGTTTTCAGAATTAAGATTTTACATTATAAAAAAAATAAATTTTAAGAATTAAGATTTCATACTTTGAAAAATTCATATCTCTAGAGAAATAAATTTTCAGAAATAAGTTTCTGAATCTAAAATTCTACTCTTCCATCATGTTTCTAAACTTACATTTTACAAGCTTCCACAATTCATTTTTTGGAAGTGAATTTTAAACTTGAAATTTCATACTAAAATAAAAAATAATAAAAATAAATAAATAATTTTTTTACCATTATGAAGGATTTTTTAAAAATAAAATTATAAAAAAATTAATTGAGTGTGAAAAAAATATGAAAAAAAGCAACTTCCTCATCTCTTTTGTCATTTTCGGATTTTAGTTTATTTTTAACATATTTTTTATACAATATTTTATTATTAATGAAAATTCGCATGATTTATTAAATAAAAACTAAGATCCACATGATTCAACAATTCCATAAATTTCAATTGATAAAAAATAAAATGTGTTAATGAATGTGTTTAATATTTGTCTAGTATTAGTTTAAATTTTAAGTTGATATTAAAGTAAAACTTTTATTATATCGAAATGGCATACTAACAATAGAGGACTGCAAAGTTAAGCCTAATAACACTCTTATATACTCGCATTATTGCTAAAATGATTCCTATATGACTATCTTTGTGTTTTTTGAAACTAGAACATCATTCAACGAGTAGAATCAGTTGAGAACATTATGAGCTACAAAAGAGAATGACTCGAGTGGTTCTGCTCTATCATGACTATCTTTGTCCCACCATTCGAAAACTGTGAATAGACTTATTATTCTACTTTATTGGACTGCATTTATATCAATCGACTTACTTTTAATTTAGACAACAAAAAACAAAAACTAAATTCAACTTTTTAATATATATATATATATATATATATATATGAAGTAACTTTTATTAAATAATTTAATCTTAAAATCAACTAATCACATAAATTATATATGCAAATTTTAAGATTAATTCATGACTTTTTCATGTACGTCAAAATTAACACAATATATATTTTAAAAATTTTTAAAATAAAAACTATTTGATAATAATTATATAGATTTTTTACTTTCAAAAAATTTCACACAAATAATTTAAGCATTATATAATTATAATTCAACAGTTGAATCAATAAAAATAATTTTATAAGTTATTAAAAATTTAAGAGTGAATATATATATATATATATATATATATATATATATATATATAAACTAATTTTATGCAAACCATAAATTACAAGAAACATTTTTATCTTGTTTCACAATTTAATTTTGTCTAAAATGAAAATTATTCTGCCCATCTAAAAAAGAAATCAAGCGAATCAATAATTTTGATAGAGACAGCAAATTTCACATCCTTGTAATTTTTTAAGAATTAAAAAATAATAAAATAATATATATTAATCTCTCTAATAAAAGTCAGTAATAAAAATATGTTATTGAGATTTTAAAAAATAGAAAATATAATAAAATACACACGCACAAGTAAACTTGAATTTATTTTATTTTACAATTCAAATCAATAAATTTGGTTAAATATTATTAGTATTAAAAAATTTTAAATTTTTAAATTTAACTAAACAGACACCTATAATTTTTAAAATATACATAAAATTTGAAGTCTTATACTATATATAGATATAAGATATATGCCTTGCTTTCTTTTAACGCTAGGAATCTTCAGTCTCGCCTTTAAATGTGCAACGGTACAGCGTTAGGATTAATCGTGAGCACCTAAAACAAAAGACAATTTATAGGATTTACTAATTTTAAGACCAAAAAAGAGAATTCACTCATTTCAGTTTTAACAATGCAAGGAAATAAGAGTGTTATCAAGCTTAACTCTGGCGGTCCAGTTGAAGTAAATAGCACCATGCGAAGAGGCATTGACAAGAAAACGGGCGTGTTCATTGTGGAAAGAATCATCACATACTCATATGGTAAGAGAAAATTTTCTTTGAACATAACCGAGGTATGCAAAAACGACATTGTAAACATTGTATATCTCGAAGGCTCCGAAGAAACTGAGTCAGGTTCTTCTGCCACTTTGAGCATGCGGATCATAAGAAGCGACAGGTATGGTGTTTTATGTAACATGACAAGTAAATTAGTGGGTTCATATGATATGGTTAAGAAGAATTATAGCGTGCCTCCTTTGCCAGAATCAGAACTTGTTTGTTACTTTTGTCGTCAGAATGGTTCAGGAGGTTGTTTCAGTATAGAGAAGAAGAAGAGCAACAATAATTTTGTGGAGATGGTTAAGGCCACACATGCATTTGTTGTGGATGAAGAAACCATCAATGTCAAAATGAAAATAACAAATGAGGGAGGAGTTGGGTTGCGTGTTAAGGTGGAGGGTCCAGTGAAGCTTACAAAGGATTATGCCAAACTTGTCTTTGGGAGAATCGAAGAGAAGATGGAAAGTGAGATGGGGGCCAGTACTCTGTCTCTGTTTATAAATGCCATGGATCATCTTCCTCCCCCTAATAATTAATGGCAACAACTCCATGAGCTTGGTGGAGTTTGATATACATGAGTGTCTGAAATCATGTTTAATTGATTTTGATATGGGCAATTTTTCAATATTTAGGAGAGGGATTGAGAAAAAAAGAAAAAGAAAAGAAAAAGAAAAAGATAAGGGATGTAAACACAATAAATAAATAAATAAATGAGTTGTAAGAAAGTACTGTAGGAGTAAAAATAGAACAACTCATTTAGTTATATCCGTATAATAAGATGATGAGATAAGGACAATTTAGTTATGTATCTTTTGAGAAATTTGAATTTAATAAAATTATACATGTATGACTCTGAAATATTTGCCATGTGCTTGTAATTTACTGTTAAGCATTGCATGTATTGCACATTATGGGTATTTGTAAACATAAGGCAACGTTTGGGATAATGGATGTTGCCATGATTAGGATCGTAGAGCGGGTGGTAACTCAAAAAGATCACAAAAGTGTGAATTTTGGAAGGTGTTCACTAATTTAATTAAAACAAAAATATTTAATCAATCTCTGGCAATTTATTTATAAGCATCTTTAATCTAATTCAATAATGCAATTTAGAGTATGTTATTATAAATTAAACTTACGAGAAGGTATAAGATGTGTATCTGGTTGAGAGAAATTTAAATTTTTTGCCTGAATTTGTTAGATATCATCCTTACACAAAAACAAGTGAAGGAAGATTCCTCTTTATCTAACGATTAGAGTTTTTCTATAATTGTGTATCCTAAATTTTCTAATAAAAAATAATTTATATATCATATCACATGAGAACATAAATACTTCGATAGACACAATGTGAAAAGTATAGCTCATCAGGTAATATTCATCATGATAACAATCTATCATGTGTTTAGTGATTATGTAATCTTAATACTAATTCGCAAAATAGATTTAATAACATTTAGTATATTCTCTTTAAGATAAATTTATTTTAGTTATTAAAGATAAAAGAATTACTGCAAGAAGAATTTCTACAAGCTAGAAAACATTTATTATGGCCAAAGAAAATGTGCTCCTAATTAAGCAAAAAATCATATTTCATAAAAAAGATAGATAAAAAAAATACAATTAAAATAAAAAAACGTAATTTCAATAAATAGTTCATATATCTTAATATTAATGACAGATATATATATATATATATATATATATATATATATATATAATAACAAAATAAACTAGTACATGTCTCATCCTCTAGTAAAATAAGCCAATTAGACATTTTTTTAAAAATAATATAAAAAAATTACGATACTATAAAATTATGTGAATCTTAATTCTTATAGTTTATCGTTACATGAAATATATTTATCAATAATAAATCATATTAAAAAATATATTAGAGAATAACTAACATCTGTATAAAAGTAAAAAATAGCATGATCGTAGGGACAAGAATACTTACAAATATAATTCCACACAGCACGGGACAAGAGAAATACGAAATCTCAACCACACAAGTGTTGATTTAATTTTGTGCTTCTCTTGTGTTCCTTACTCATATTGTGGGTGGCCCTTTAACATGTTTTGCTTTCTTTTAACGCTATGAATTGCAAGGAATTATGTGGAAAGTGAGATGGAGAAGTTAAGGGACTGTAAACGTTTTACTTTTATTATTAATTATAAATCTGTCACATTTATTTTATTTTATTTTCTATTTTTAAAGATTTTTACAAGAAATATTATTAATTTTATTTTCTGTACAAATATTTAAAAATAAATAAAAAAAGTTCTTAATATGCTCTCACTTTTGCTAGGAAATTGTATCCGTCAACACTTCCAAATAATGACAACAATTGGGAGAATAAAGGTGGCAGCAAGCAATGGCAAAACCTTCCGTGTCGAAGTTAGAGTCATGAGATGTAATTGTTATCAATGAAGGAACAAAAATATATAGAGAGAACAATGCATGGGATAAGGAATCAGTCTCACGAGTCTCCACTTTGAGTTCAATAAAGGTGTTAAGCTTTTCTTACTTTTTGTTGGAACATTTGCTTTTCTTCTTTTTACGAGAGAAATATAGACCATAAGAAAAGACTAAGATTTTAAGAAATACACTTATCAATCTATTTACGGTAAAAATTGTGAAGTTGTAAACAAATAAATTTAAGAGTAATCTAGGAATTGGATTTTAGATATTTTTGGATTCTTTTAATTGTATTGTGATTAAAATGATTTAATAGGCGTCATGAAGTTGAGTATTAAACGAGAATAGTGAATAGTGGTAATAACATAAAACTGAATTAAATGTAAAAAGTTTACAAAAATATACTGAACATAAATGTAATTACGAGAACAAAAAATGTAAAATGGATTAAAAATTAAATGCAGAAATGTAAATGTGCAGGAAAATAACGTACGACTCATAACAACAGTGAACAACAACCACTGTGACTTTCTAAATAGCTAGTGTTTGGCGTGGTGCAAAGTTTCAGCGTGCAAAGATTTTATGTGCAAGTGTCTGGGTGCAAAAAATCGTTCCCTAGACAATGAAGCTTTGTAGTATTTATAGACAAATGATCCACCACTGTTCTCTTGTTTTCGCGGGCACTTCTTCATAATTGTCTTCATCATGTGCTTGCTTTTAGTTGCTGTTGCCTATTATCCACAACTACTTATGATCGTGCTGGAGATTGTGGCTTTTTAGTAACCACTATTACACATGATCGTCTCTTCGTGCCCACGATCTTTTTTTTGTGTTTTTTGACCTTCAAGTGGTGGTAACTACAGGTAATTGCTAGTAATTGCTTCAACCTTTGTTCAAGCCTCGTGTTTTTTTGTCATGTTTTCCCATTCCTTAAACTTTATTTTACATCCTGGCCTTAGAATAAATTTCATGTTATGTTTTGACTATTGTGGAGAAACCTGTCAAAGACCCCGTAGACATAGAATAATTTTTCCATAAGTTCTTGTTTTTCGAGTAATTCTAGGAGAAATCTGGGAGTTCATTTAGTCTTGTGAACTTAAAATATTTTTTTTCTGCTCATTCCTATTTTTCAAGTAATTTTGAGGAAAGTCTAAGATCTCACTCAGTCTTATAGACTTAGAATAATTTTCTTTACTTATTCCTAATTTTTGAGCAATTCTGAGGAAAGTTTGAGATCTCAGTCAATTTTGTGGACTTAGAATAATTTTTTTCTCAATTTCTACTTTTCTAGCAATTCTGAATGGAGTTTGGGTGCTCATTCAAGTCTGTTGACTTAGAATGTTTTCCTACTATTTCCTGTTTTTCGAGCAATTTTGAGGGAAGTTTGTGATTTCATTTATCCTTATGGACTTAGAATATTTCCTTTATTCATTCCTATTTTTTGAGCAATTTTAAAGGAAGTCTGTGTGCTCACTCAGATTTGTGAACTGAATATTTTTCTTGTCTATTCCTATTTTTTGAGCAATTTAGAGAAGTTTAAGACTTGACAAAATCCTTTAAAACACCTCAAAATATAATCTTTTCGACATAAAACTTCTTTGGACCCTTTGAAAGTCCTTGAAAAGTAGTTCTTCTCAACAGGAACTAGAGGACTTAGAATATTTTTGTTAGTTCTCTTTTTTCGACCTACTTTGGCTTATTTCATTTTGGAGCTTTAGAACTCTCCAAACTCCTTGAAAAGCACTCCTATTTTTTGACAAAAATTAAGGTTTCTCTCAAAACTTTCCAAAACTCTTTAGAATTAAGTCTTCTTTTCAACAAAGAATAAGACTCCTCTTCTAACCCTCTAAAACTCCTCAAAATGTAGTTTTTTTAGCATGGAAAAACTCTTCTCAAAATCCCTACAAAATTTCTCAAAAAGTAGAACCTTCAATAGGATTTAGGACTTAGATAATTTTACAAATCTCTGGTTTGTCAACATGGGAGCCTAAGATCCTTTGATTCTAGTCGAAAGCTATACCGTGCTACTAAACTTTGAGGTGTATTTCTCCTTGAGAGAGTATGATTTCTTTTTTACAATGAAAGTCTGATATGGACTTTATAATTTAGAAAAAAATTTCTTTCTCTAAACAGAACCCTATACACTTACTAATTTACTTCTCTAAGACTTCAAGGACATGGCTCTCTGAAACTGACCACGAAAGCTTTGATAATGGCTGCATAAATGAAAACGATAGTGGAACATTTGCGTCATTTACCTCTATGGTATGGTATCTACAGAAGTTTCAATTTTTTCAATTAATTTTTTCATTCCTTTTTTTTTGTAATTTCTCTTTCTCAGTGCGTATTTGGTTCTAATTATTTTAAATAGATAGTTATTTGTTTTTGTTGAATTTTTTAAGAGAAGTTTTGAAAAAAATGTTTATTTTCTTAAAATTAATTATTACCAAATGTACTATTAATTCCTAGTGAAGATTTTAAGTATCACTCCGGTGATGAGTCTGCTCCCATACCCATGTAAAATCTAATTAAAAATCAATAAAACATGGTAGGCAAAATTTAGAGAAGAGTTTAAATTTATTGTATTATTAGCATATATAATTATAAAACATATTCCTATTTAATCTTGAATTGATTATTTATTAACGAGTTTATTATTATATAGCAATTATATTAGAAATCCACCTTATCAAAGGATATAACAATTTATGTTATTATTGAGGTTATTATCAACCGGTCGAATTAATATTCTGTCTTTCTAAACTACATGACCACATTTTTCATTCTTCATCTTCTCTCCAAACGTGAGCTCATTTATATTGTGATTAGTTAAAAAGCAATTGAAAGAATAAAAAGGAGGTGATCCTTTCCTTTTTAATTTTATCTCATTTAAATTTTAAAAGGTAGAGAGATAAAATAAAGCTATATTTCTTATTATAATTTTCTCATTTTTAATATTAAAATATTTACAAAAAGAAAGGTGGTTCACAATTTTTGAACCATGTTTTCAAAATTATCCTTAAATCATATTTTATCTCTCATTATCTTTATTAATATTTATAAGAGTATATTATATATGTTTTTCTTCTACTTTCCCTTCAAACCAAACAAAGAGACCATCTCCCCCCTCTCTCTTGAACAAAACTAATTTCGGGGACAGTTTTTTTTTTTTTCCACTTTCCTCCTTTTTAAATAAAATAAAATCTAATTCAATAGCTTGAATAATTTTGTTGCTTTTTGTTTTAAAATGTTATCAAAATAAATTTTATCGAATATTTTTTTAATGTTCTAAAAAGTAAAAAGTTATTTGGTATTTTATACTTAAAAAATTGTTTTTGTTTCAGTTAACAACACTGGACTCTTTTTAAACTCACGTGCAACATTGTTACAGGGTTTTAGGTTAGATGAGGAAATAAAACAAAGGAAGAGACAACAATAATCTTAAATAAGATACTCCAGCAACAGCAGGAAGAAGCCAGTACTGCAATCTGAAGGTGGATAATGATAAAGTATAAACTAAGGGGTCAGAGAAGCTCTTTTTTTACCAAGAAAATCTGTACAAAAATTAGCCTCCGTGAGAGAATGGTTGAGAGAGAATAAACAATCCCTGGACAGTAATCATGGATATATATGGATGATAGCATTATGTCTGCGAAATTCTAAGGAAGCGTTGTTGATTAAAGATATCACTTGAAGAAGGCAATCACTATGATAGGTGATCACATATGGAAGGCCTTCATCTTAGGCAGTCAACAAACCACATAATAAATTGCAAGCAATTCAGCCTTTATGTTTTCAGCACACATTACCCGCAAAACCACACAGCCAAGCACTTGTGGAGTACCCCTCAATAAGACCTCTAAATCTTGCCAATATACACAGAATCAACATTCAAAGATTTTCACCGATTGGTGGCAGAGACCATTTAAGTGACCCAGCAGCACCAAAAAAATAAAAATAAAAAAAATGAACACTTTATTCTTAGATTAGTCTTTGTCAATAAACTTTTAAAAAAATTTATGCTAATAATTTATTTTTTATTTAACAAAACTATATTAAAAAAAAGGATTATCTTAACACGTAAAAACTTTTTTTATTAATTAATGATAATTATTTTGTTGTGGACGGAGGTGGAGTGGAACGATGTTGAGTCCGATTGCTAATGAGCATAAAATAAAAAATAGATTGTAGGATAAATAAGTCAATAGAACTAACTTCCGTTAATAATGTGCCCTCTATGTAATGCTTTCATGTTAAGGTTTCTCCATGCATGCCATAAGGTTGCTATGAACATAGAATCATTTAATCCATTGAATATTAAAAGGAAATCCCATGGCACTCCTATGAGAAATCAGTCTTAGTGCTAGAAATTTTATTATTTTTCAGCACCTTCATTTTCAAAATCTAACTCTGGGATTAAGGGTATGACATCTTCCCATATGCCAATTGTAGCAGTACTCTTTAGCAGTTAAAAATCCATTTAATTGCATTGGTACTCCTAATTAATGGTTAAATTAGAGGAAGTCTGATTAAGATGGATTAAGGTCTTGCTCAGGATATCAAATTTGTTCTATGGCAAAGGAGTGAACAAGAAGATATCAAAGGTACCATCGAAGACCATCCTAAAAGGTCTTTAAATCGGAGCTTAGAATCATGCATGTCCACATAGGGAACTTTCTCACTCAACAAACCTTTTGAGTCCAATTGAAAAACCAAAAAGAACTGTCACCTGTGCTAATTCGAATCACAATACCATCATTCAAAACTGATCCTATATTTTGGATTAAATTCAACACAAACGATCATTGCTTGTTACCCGGGTTCATAATGTCCGTCTCAACTATGTTTACTAGAAATAAGTTGAACTCAGGTTTATTTGATGGTGCAAATGCTTTCTCCTAGGCCGAATAAGCTTTCTCCTGTCAACTAGGTGCATGTCATTCCCTTGGCTGTTCGACCTAATAAAATCTGTTGTAGTGTCAATCTTAAATCCTATTCATCATTATCTCTTTTGACCCTTCCTTATATTATTGGGAAGCTCAAATATCTATTAATATTTAAGTGAAAAAATGGTAGAAATGTTTGAAAATTTATTTATTACTTGTATCACTAATAAATAAATTAAAATTATTTAAAACTCATCTACTAACCCTTAAATACTCTTGTTTGTTTTTAAAATTTAATATATCATCATTTTTAAAAATTTAATGTAACTTTTTCTACTTTATATTAATAAAACATTAGTTATTTAATAAATTTCAACAAAAAAATATTATTTATTTTATATACAATCCTTCATTGTTTCATTTTTTTGTAATTTATCTTCTGATTTTTTTATTATTAAATCTTTATAAAAAAAAAAGAGATGTATTAAGAAAATTTTAAGTTATCTTGAAAACTAACAAAAGAAATTAACTTTTAAATCAAACTGAAATTAAGTGTAGTTAAATGAAGTAAAAAATTGAAAAAAAGCACTAAAAGAATACAAACAATAAAGAGTATTTTTAAATTGTGCAAAAGGAAATTAGTTAACGTGTAATTAGGCCTTACAAAGTTAAAAGACCAATAGAAAAATTGTACAACAAAAATATATAAATTTATAGAGCTAATAAAATATTAACTAAGTTAGCCCAAACTTATTTAATAAAATGTAAAATTTTAATTATATTAAAAAATTTATATTTTAATCTAATTAAATTTAACAAGTTAAATTCGCAAAAAAATTATTATAAATAAATTTATTATTTTGACACATTTTTTTATAAATTTAATTCTTTGTTCAACCGACTAAATCTTAAATAGATCAAATAAGTTGAATAATCTATTTTATCAACTCTATAAATTTATTTTAAATTCTCTGTAACAAACCATAGCCTAAAGAAATTGAATAACCTATTTTATAAGCTCTATAAATTCATCTTAAATTCTGTGCAAGCCCTAAGAAGTAACAGAGAAAAGAAAACAAAGAGGAAACGAGCATTGAGTAGGTCTGCAATTCCGCTTCCTTCTCTGTCGTCAAAATGAGTACTATGAAATTTTGCCGCGAATGGTTTGCACCCATCTCACTTTCCTCTTCGTTTTCTTTTTTATTATTATTTTTTTGTTGATTCATTGATTATGGTTCAGCAACAACATTCTGTACCCTAAGGAAGACAGAGAACAGAAGATTCTTCTCTACGCATGCCGCAACTGTGATCATCAGGTTTTTCACTTTTCCCTCTTTTCGTATACGAAGAAACCCCAATTCATTGATTGAAATAAACGAACCAACAAACCAATTTTTGTTTTGAAATATAACTGTTAATAGAACTATCAAAGGACTATCTAGCAAGTGCTTGTATGCATTAGTTTATTTTAGGACCAAAAATGTTTCAATTTTTAGCAGAAAAAAACGATTATTTAGTGGAATCAAGCTGTACCCATACACTGGTCAAATTGTTGGTTGGTTGCCTTTCTCTTGAAGGGGTGTTGAGAGGGACTCTTCCGCAGTTCTGATACGATTAACTTTGTTGGAATGTGTTTTGCTTAACTATTTTATTGTTGCTGTCGTTGTTGTTCAGGAGGTTGCTGATAACTATTGCGTGTATAGGAATGAGATACATCACTCTGTTGGAGAGCGCACTCAAGTGTTGCAGGATGTTGCTGCAGATCCAACACTTCCTCGGACCAAGTCCGTTCGCTGCACTCAATGCAATCATGGTGAAGCTGTCTTTTTCCAGGTATAATCCCTGTTCTAATTATGAAACTGAACTGAGCTGTTTTTATTTTTTCTGTTTTGGTGTTAAGAAGTTTACTCTGCCAAGCTTTGGGCGTACCACAAGCTTCATGATTTTTGCTTATAAGTAGAATGTTAGTTTGACATTTGATGGATGTTCCCTTCTGTGTGTGTGCGGGATGATGTGGAGATAGAGCCTTGAGGATTTGAGGAGAATGATGAGTTTATGCTAGATGTAATACAAATTTTCTGTTTAACATTAGTGCTGATATTTCTGCCTACTTTCATCCCCTTAATTTGGAAGAAGTAATTGCATAAGGAAGCAACACAAAAAAGGTTGAAGTTGCTCTTAATGTATCAAATCGTGGTCTGAATCTGTTTAGGCTTATAAAAGTATCATGGCTATTGCATAGATACTAGGAGGCTTGAGGTCATTGTATAAATTGCTTGCTTGAGAACCTTTGATTGTCTTTCTATTGTTTTGGTTTGGGACATTCATTAGTCAGAATGTCAGGCAGCTCAAGTTTAGAATGAAAATTAAGTTTGAACAAATTTGATTCTTGTTGAGCTTGTTTTGTCTGGTAGCTCTTGTATCACTGTATCAGTCATTGTAGTGTTCATGGTTCTGTGCAGATTGTTGCGATGCATAAATTTTATTTTTTTACCTTTTGGAAAAAATATTGCTGCAATGTAGTACTGTGATGACTTGTTTTTTCTTTCTGTAGTCTTTCCTCAAAATAATAAACAAAGGGCCTTTTTCTTTTGTTAAATAGCAAGTGTTTTAGTTATATATAAAACTTGATGCAATGAGTTGTTTACTTGTTTGACTTTGAAGTGCTAATATCTTTGTGTTTTAGATCCTTTATGTGAAGTTATATGTTAAATGCTTTTTATATTTTTATTATTGATCATTATGTTATTGGTCATGATAAGTTTCGGGTCATGATTTGGAAAATTGGTCTTCTACCCACGATTCAGACTTTGATTTGATTACCTTGATACAAATTACTTTCTTTTCTTGTTCAAATGCTAAATTGGTTGCTTAGCTGAACACTAGACACTGGTATGGAAACTTATTTGGGGACCTCCTATTGGCTGCATATGTCATCGTACAGTTAAAGCTCTGGAAACATATCTATCTTTCAACAAAAAGTAATGCTGATATAGTGTAGATGAAAGAAAATTCAGTATAGTATAACCATTTGAATCTGAAATGCCGTGCTTCTCTTTGAAATAGCCTTTAAGAAATAATGCTGATTTCTTCATTACCCTTTTGAATGCATGTTTTGGCAAAATTTCAATCTTGGTTGAGAAACCTTAGTTTAATTACTGACAGAACATCTGAATTTTTTAATGCATTCAGGCAACAGCCAGAGGGGAAGAAGGAATGACACTTTTTTTTGTATGCTGCAACCCTAGCTGTGGTCACCGATGGCGAGACTGATGTTTATGCTCCCTCAGATCAAGGTTCAATATTGGGAAGATTCAACAAACAATTTTTTATTTGTTCGGTTTTAATTTATTTTAGTAAATCGTTCATGGTCTTTGCTGTCCATTTTTCAATAGAATAGAGATATTTTATAAATGGAACATGGTTTTAATTTATTATATGAAAACCTTGGTTGATGCAGGGGCAATACTACTAAAGTCTTAGTGATACTTGTTTAACTGTGCAGTTCTTGATAAAATTATTGTAGTTAATGGACCAATTGGTCAGGGCTGATAAATTTTATCGAGGGCCTGAAGTTCTTGTTTTGTTGTAGGTAATAAGGGGGGGTGGTGAGCAAGGAATCAAAACGCCATTTTTTTGGTCTTCTAGATATTAGTTGCTGCAAAGGTTTCTTCTTAAAATTTCAACTGGGATTTTTTTTTTAATTACGAATAGGGTGACCCTGATTTACAAAGGAATATAGGCCACCCAAAATTTTAGTCAGTCCAGCCATTTGTCCCTAAAAAGAGGTTTGATTTTTTGCGAAAAATACAGCTGGATTATGGCAAATGTATTGAATGTTTTTTCATAATTTTCGAGGAAAATATAATAGTATATATACAAGTCTAAAGAGTGTAAATGGAAGATTAACTAATCTGTAGATTTATAAACTGGAAATTTTTAAATAAGGTTTTATATATTATATTTTACAAGTATTTTTTTTTATTGGTTAATGTAAAGAGCATAATTATTAAACAATTTAAAAATTTAGAAATTTATTTACAAAGATATTTGAGGTTTATAAATCAGCTTGTCGATTATAAATGAGACTTTCAATGGTTTTGTTTTCTATTTCTATGTTAACTTTGTACTAAATTTTGGATTTAAAAATTATTACTTTAACTTTTTATTGTTATTTTATATAATTTTTTATATTTATAAAAATATTTTTATTATCTTATAAAATTTTAAGTCTTTTTATAAATATCTATATATTTTTTGATATTTTATATTTATAAATTTTACTTTTCAATTATAAAATTATATATATTTATTTATTTTAAAATGAAATAGATGTGTATTGCTCGGACTATTAAATTAGTATATTTAAAAATTTTAGAAGTGGGTATTACATTTTTTATTATAGAAAACGAACGTAACGTCTCAAATCCTTTGCAAAATGGTTGCCAAACCTGGTAACCATGCTTTATTATTAAAAAAAAATGTTAACTGGGAGATGATGATGAGATGTAATTGATTGTGTTGCCCTTGCACCTATTCGAGAAAATCCTTTCCCCTATACGCACCGTTCAATTAAGTTCAAGATTAAAATGTAACCATATAGATCAAAATACTTGAGATTTTTCCTCAATATTTTCAGTTTCGTTGCAGTGATGTCATCATCTTATTGTGACATCACACTAGAATCTTTCCCTAGAATATGGGGCGGAACCGAAACTGCGTTAATATCACTACTTCTGAGCAAAGTTACCTAGATCTCAATAATGTCCTATGTTATTTGCTGAAACGCAGTGTGTTTTTTGTCTATGTTAATTTAAATGCAATGTATTATAATTAATAATTAATTAAATATGTATCCTTTTATCTTTCTCCATTCTTTTCATGCTTATTCTAAAATTCATACGCACACCACCAAAATTTTTCTTGTTCAACCCGAATTTGATATGGATAGGTGGTTAATCAAAATGTCAGGTAAAATTTACTTGCAATATTAGAAGTTCAAAATTTGAAGTTTCTCTGGAGAGGACTTGAACCAAAAGTTAATCTCAATTGTCCCTGAAAATATCAGTCACAAACAATAAAAATACATCATAAATAATTGAATGTGTTTTATCAGAAATCTATACTCTCTATAATCTCAATTGTCTCTGGAGAGGACTTGATCCGAAAGTTAATCTCAATTGTCTCTGAAAATATCAGTCACAAAAAAAAATAAAAAATACATCATAAATAATTTAATCTTTTTTTATCAGAAATCTATACTCTCTACAACTAAAACCCTTATGGCAATAGCGAGTATATATGCTGCTAATATAAACATACAAACAAAATCTAAACGGATTTACATCCTCTAACTTTGTGGTGAAAAAAGTCAGTGAGTGAATTTGCTCAATTCAATAGCACAAATTCATTCTACGTAACTTTTATAACCATAAAGGTAGAGAAGCCAACCCCAATCTTAACCCCGTCTCCTCTCTCTCTTCAACCTCAAGTATACCAAAATTCTATCCGAGGCGTTTTAGCTGCACATAATCAGGTCACTTGAAACCAAAATATTATATTTAAGAAATATATTTTAAGATATTCTGGTTGACGTTTTAAGGATAATTGATAAAAACCTTTGTAAATGACTACTCATGGTAATAGAGATGTTTAAATAATACGCCATTCAATATTTTTTTTTCTTCACACTCGTGAAAATTGAAAAGCATCGGTTGTAATTAGCCCAACCACAACCAGAACACAAGGTCTACAAATTCTGAATGCGAATTATGCATTTGCTATGAATGTGGTGTCTCTGTACAAATAATGAATGTAGCCGCAGAAATTTTCCACAGCAAAATGCTACTTTATCCCGATATTCCTATCTCTAACCTCCGAAGCTAATGCAACGAACAAGAAGAAAGCTAAACCAAGGTACAATAAAGAATCTATCTACAAAAAATATATTTGGGAAAATAACCAGCTGGGCTGCTTCGGCCCTTAGTACTGGACTTAGGGTTCCCAGAAAGCTACGAACTATAAAGATGATAATGTCCGTGTGAACCATTCTGATAGGCGTTTGATTTTTGTTGACATCTCTGCATCCTTTTCAAGAAAGGAGGTGGCATTAGACAGTAAAACTGTCACATCATGCTTCAGTGCCTCCAAACTACGGTAATAGTTATTCTCCAACCTTGATTGTATCAATTCCAGAGACAGAGGAACAGGAAACCTGCAAATTTACCAGAAATATTCAAATAAATGTTGATATACTACACAGTTCCGCTTCAAAAAGGCTAATGGAATACCTGTTTATAAATTTAGACTTATTTGAAATTTTCTTCAATTCATGTATCCCATAACGATCCTGTCATATCAATGACAAAGAACTGAATATTTATCACCTCCACACAAACTCAAAACTTATGCTATGGAAACTTTGGACAGATACCTGAACTGTGTTGCCTGACTGCTGTAATTTGGTGAGAGCGGATAGCAGTTTATTTCTCTTATTATCATCAATATGAGGTTGTTCCCATTCAGTATCAGCATCAAAAAGCTCCCAAGGACTATGCAAATGGGTTTCAGTGAGGTCACTCTTGTACCGAACAGTATACCTCTCCCATGGACTTTCTGGAAATTCGGAAGACTTGGCTTCCACGCACAGGATTCGACCATCCCACCAATTACCAGAGGAATTATCCTCATTCTTCCACCAAACCCTGCATTTATCCCTGCGTGTCCAATTTCTTTGCATAGCAGCATCAAACCTAGTTCTTTCAACAAGAAAATCTGGGAAACTAGTCACTTCAGGTAGGGTTAACTTAAAAGATTTGCCAACAACACTTGAATTAGGATCTACAAACTCAAGTGTCATTTTGCAGCAGCTATCACCAGACCCTGGAACATGGGAATACTCTAGGCTTTGAACTCTACAATATTCTACAGCTCTTATATGTTCCTTTGGTGATGCCCAAGGCCCTGATTCTCTTCTACGGCAATAATCTATATACTCCTGGTGCCCCTGAAAAATGGATATTTTCATAGGTTAACACATTCAAAATTTTAAATTAAAACCAGAAAAAAGAACACGCGTTGAGAACTTTAAAATATGCATGAAAAAAACACAGTATCTATAATCTCTAATGGCTAACCTGTCTCAAATATACAACTTCATCTCCCTGTTGTGGAATAAATCTGCATCCTTCCTCATGGGTCGATAACAGCAACCATGAACCTTTGCTAGCTGATTGCTGTGATTTCCTTCTATTTACAGGACTAGTCTCACGAATATTATAACTAGATCTCCGACTCCTAGTAGACCTCAAACCAACAGTCAATTTTGAACAAGAACCCCTTTCTTCTTCTGTGAACTGTCCTCCATTTGTGGATACATCCTGTGGACTTCTAACTATACGGTTTCCATGTCCTTGCTGCACTTTGAGATTATTCCGCTCATTATTTGGGTCACAAGTAGTTGGTTCCAGCTCTAAGGATCGATTGGTATGAATGGCCTCATTTGTGCCATTACTGAAATCTGCCGCTGCATTGAAATTATTGTTGCCCCCATTTGAAGTAGATTTTCCCATGTCACTACCATCAGCTAAATTAGTCACAGCCCTATGTGATCTTGATCTTCTGTAAACAGCTTTATACATTCTATCTCTATGTGAATGTGGCTCTGGCAAATCATGTGAAGTACTATTTTGCTTAATCTGAGGACCTATTTCTTGAGATCCGTTTTCTCCCTGATTAGCTGTTACCCTAGTGTTGTCATCATCCTCAACCACAACCTCATGCTGTTCATTGTTCAAATTAACATAACCATTTGTGCTACATACATTATTCTTTAGCACTGAAGATCTGGTTTCATGCTTGGAAGGACTTTCAGGATCCCTACAACCCCTTTTAGACCTTAGCTTTGTTGAAACAGAAGGAAAACCAATATTTGGTTTAGGCAATTGGTCAACCCCACTATAGCTGATGGAAGCAGGAACAGTATCATGAGGAATCATGTAAGCACAAATTAGTGATTCATCTTTGTCCCTGCAATTCCCGGAAGCTGTGATCTCTTCATTCTCTGTAGGATTAAAAGTCTGTGAAATTGTACCGGCACAATTTTCATTAATTTCTTCTGTCAAACTATCTACCTTATTATTATCATTTTGGATTGCTAAAGCAAAGGTTGATGTACTGAAATCCTTGTCCTTTTTCTCCGTACTACCATTTTCTTTTTCATTTAGATGATTTGGACACTTTACAGAATTGGGATTTGTGTTTGGTAGCATAGCTTCTCCCACTCTCAGAGGTTTTGATGAACGAGCCCTAACCATTCCCCATCTAATTTTCCCAAGTATGTCTACATGGTCTTCTGGCTGATCTAGTTTTACTTGATGCATTCTTTCAATTGTATGGTAACTTGAACTACCAGAATAATACCCCGAATCTTTAGAACTTGGTCTGCTCGTATCAAAATCAGTAGCTTCTTGTGCAGTTTTGGATGATGATCCTACTAAGTTGGATGATGATCCAACCAACTCAGCCTGGTAATCAAACTCATTTGTGGATTTAGACGAATCACGAATTGGTAACTTGAGAACCAATCTCCTTTTGTTCATTGAATTCACATGAGTCTCAGTTAACTCATGAGACTCTGTGTCCTCTGATTCATACAATGATACTTCTTTTCCCTTAGAATAATTTGGTTGGTCATTCTCTAAAGTTCTGCCAGATTCATCACTGTCAATATTAGACTCTTGCGATTCACTATCTGAAAAATCACCAACCATACTATCCTCTTCTCCATCTGTTGGTGTACCTGTAATTTTAGAAAATAAATGTAGAGCATTGCGTGCAGCAGCTCTTTGAGGTCTGGAAGATTTTGATTTAGAAGATTTCCTCCTCCTTATTTTCTGGCCACCTTTTCCCTTCCTATTTCGGTTACTGCCGAAAGTATTGCCATCACACTCATCCAAATTCCTCCTTTTCACACGTCTCCCAGAAGAAGTCATGATCTCGGTCTGTAGATAAAAAAAAGGAATGATTCAGAGTTGTTATGAAAATAAGTATTCACTCTATATTTTACATCTGTACTTACTTCAGTCTTCTGTTTTTTCCTTTTTGATCTACGTATGCTATCTGTGTGAGTGTCATCCCCTTCACTGTTATCCACGCTGCACCCTGAATCTCCAGAGACATTGGAGCTTGAACATCCTTTCTCACCCCTAGAAGAGCAATCTTCAGTGACATTATACTCTGAATCTGTATCATCACTGAACACTTCAATTTCAGGTTCCCATTCCATGGCATCTGTAAACTCTGGCAGTGGTTCTGTAAGCACATCCAAGTCTGCCAATGGAAGCATATGATAATCTGGGTCCAGACTGAAATCAGGACCAACAGCAAGCCTTAGTGAAGATGGGCGCCACTCAAGGCCTAAAGCTCCTAATCGTCTTTGCTGAAATTCACTCTGATAAGGTTCAGGGTATGGTATCATTGCTGGAAGTTTGACAGGATATAACCAACAGTTTATAAAAATGATAGAGGGAATAAAGAAACATGTAAGAAATACAGCCAAGAAATTGAAATGTATAAAGAATAGATCCACGAAGACAAATTAACCTGAATCACAGAGCAAATCTTGCAGATTCCGTCGATATGGTACAATTTGGGTTTCCTGACTCAAATTTTAATATTGCTTAAAATTAGGAAACATGGATGTTACAAAATTTGTAGATGAAGCATGCATAGAAAAAAAACCCACAATATCCAAGATAGCCATCTTAAACAAGTTTCACCTATCACAAAATGCATCAGCTAATGTGACAGTTAGAAAGTTGAATTAGTCAGTACACTTCAACATTAGGCACTGTTATATTACAATCCATATTTTGCTTTCCCCTACAAGTCAAAGATTTTGTACCCAAATACTCTCATTTTCATGCTTTTTAGGATTTAGCACCGCTAATCTGACTAATCACTTTAGAGGAAAATGTGCAAAGTAATCAATGGTAGACATTTGGACAAAAATATAGTTTGTTATATTCTTTTAATCACAATAACTGGTGATATTTACATCAATGGCTACAACTTCTCACTATTCCCTCTAAAGTGAATCCCTCACAATAGAAGAGCCAAATTCTTTTCTTTTCTTTTTTTTGTTTGCATTATATGGTCTTTTTTTTCTTCAGGTCACAAAACTAATTTATTAAAACACTGTTGAGACTTGAAACTAGAGTTAGTTGGCGCAAAATGATTTCTCAACATAAAAAGTAGTATTTGGTACATAATTTTTCTTGAGGTAAGAAGTATATGAGAATTTTAAAAAAAGCTTCAATGCCAACCCCCCCCACCCCCCCAAAAAAAAAAAAAAAAAACGATGTTCTAACATTTTCATAAATGAAATGAAAGAGGGACAAGCAAGTGATCAACTAACCTGGTCTAGTACATTACCATTGGTGTCTTGAATGAGAGGTCGATAATCACCAAGAAAGAACTGTCAAATATTTGCAGACATTACTACCAAAACAGTAACAAAAGAAAGAGAACCATAATAGGATGGTGATGTATGTACCTGATCATATTTGGCATCTTTTTGGGACTCACCTTGACCTGTGCTTAATATATATAGTTGGCCAACGTCATCCGAAAGTATAATTGATGTCCCATCCCTATGCCATGTAAATAAATTTCAACAAAACACAAATGAAATGATATACATTGAATGAAACACCATGGACCAATAAAACAAGCCCATAAAAAAGTCCACATAACATAGCCATATTCCACATGATTTTACAAATCTCTGAGAAAGTCCAACGGATCATGATGTCTTCACCAATCAGTGTTTGTCTTCACCACAGAGTGATTGCAACCAATCAATATTGAAAACAGCAATAGATTTGATTTCAACATGCCATTGATTTAAGTGAAGGCACTAAGGATTCAACACATATTTCAATTTTACACACGTCATAAAGTGATTTTGATCTTGTAGTTTTAAATACAACTTCATATAGAAATCAATTTTCACATATTTAGCTTTGGGAAGTATAACCAAAGGGTGGATTTGCATATAAGCTTCTATAATGAATAATTGTGATTCAATGGACCTTATAAAATTCAATTATACTTGTTGAATTTGGGTTCTAAGCCTAATTCAACTTCAAAAGCTGACTCGTAAAGTGAATATTATTTTAGCTTTTATAAGCTATAATGTAGTCATATCTATAACCAATGTGGAACTTCAACATACCTCCTCATGCTCAAGATTGGACATCTAACGTGTGAAAATTGTAAGATTGCAGGACCAGATAGGTAGCATTAAGAAAGCCATGGGACTAAGTTGCACTGGGCTAGCTAAGTTACATTGGAAAATCCACGGGGTTAGGTTAATTATACTGAAAAAATTTGTAGGGCTAGATTTATTTTTCTTCAGTCAATGGTAGCTCAATATCATATCTACAATAAGCTCTGAAACCATGTTGAATTCAGACTTTAAGTTTAACTCAACCTCAAAAACTAGCTCATATGGTAAAAATTGTTTTAACCTTTATAAGCTCTTATTTAGTTATATCTATAATTGATGTGAGACTTTAACAATACTAGACAAATTAGAGTACATCTCCTAGATGTAAGTTTTGAGACAAGGACCAAATTTTAAAATAATGTCAAGTTTTAGGGGCACTTTTTTAGTTTAACCAAATAATAAATGTTCATTGATAGAGTAGATCCTAACAATTCCACACAAATGCTACACCCTCGGCAAAATACTCAACTGATATACCATTTCTTTAAGTAATTTCAATTTAATATTATGACATTAGAAATAATTTTAAAAGTCACATACTAAAAAGTATGTTGCAATCAATTAGAGACTACAAAATTCTCTCGCTCAGTATGTGAAAATAACAATTGTAAATATTTATGATAATGCAAGAACCATAGTTACCATTTACCTATAGTGGACTATAGTAGTGCAATAGCGATGTGGAGCAGAGGCCACATACCGTTCCAAAATTTGAATAGTGATGTGTTTACAAATAGCGGCCATAGCAACCAAAATAGCAGCCATAATGGTGCTATAACAGCACAACAGTGAATCTCTCTAAAATAGCTCATTTTTGCCCTAAATAAACCATTGTCTTGGGGGATTTTTCTTAGGGGAAACATTGATATTTCCCTTCTCCATTTCAGAAATAAAAATTCCTAATTGGGCGTAGTTTTCCACGCTTCTATCTTTTGTGCAAAATCATTTTGTTAGTTTCCTTAACTTTTATTGTTTGTTACATGTATGTTTTGCTAAAGACCTCTGACTTTTTATTTTTAATTATGAATACATAATGAATTTTTATTTTTATTTATTATTGAACATTTAGATGTACATAGTATGAATTATTTAATCTGTATATAAAAATTTCTAAATAGTGGTAATCCCGCTATAGTGTTTTTTCAATCAACTGCTATGCACCACTACTTAGATTGATAACTATTATAAAAATAACTTTGAAAAATAAACAAATAAAACAATTTTTAGATGCAGAATAAGCTGTTCAGTTCGCTCAGCTCACTCATATTGTACTTACGGAGAAAACTTTCCATCCACCAACTTGAAACGTGATATCTCATATATCCGGATAGGCATGCCTTCCCAAATCTAAAGTCATAAAATATGAAAATTATTTAAAAGGTGTAGGAAAGTCAATATAGGGTTGAGATAAAAGTAACTGGTGACTCACATCCCACACGATAGTTCTTCCATCATATCCAGCACTCATAGCTATCCGGGGATTGAAAGGATGAACATCCAGAACATATGTCTAAAATGAGCAAAGAATTAAAGCAAGTTAAGCCAGATAGACCCAAGAAAAAAAAATCAAAATTATATTTTTTTCTCATTCAGCAATTGACTAAAACAGAGAAAAAGTTTAGCATATAATCAGAGAGAAAAGCAGTAAATTAAACAACTGAAAAGTGATCAAGCATGCAGAGGCTAATCAAAGGCAGACAGTAGACAGATGTAATAGACATTGTCAAATCCTTTTGTGCAAACTTCATTTTAACAGAAAATTATATATGTGAAGTGCAGATACATGCTTCACAAGGTTGTCAAAGGGAGTAAGGAACAAAGAAAAATTCATCCACATCCATAAAAAGAGCAGGAATTTCTCAAAAGAGATAGAAAACCAAACCCAAAAAATCAAACTACAAGTGAAGATGTTTGAAGTTCAGGATCAACATAAGATATAAAAACTGGGAGGGAACAATTTTAGTCATTAATAAATTGAATAGTGTGACTGATTAAACTTAAAACTTTCATTCTATCTTGCGACATCCTATCATTGGATTTTGTTTCTTAAAAAGAATTCCTTAAGAGAAAGAATTAAGTTCAAAGATGGATGGTAAGGAATCATCCTACAACAAGCAAAAAAATAAAAAAAAGTGGAGAGAAGGGGGCAAAGGGACCAAAGAAAGGACTTCACTGGAAAAAGCAAAAATACGCAGCAAGAACTGAAACTTCTCCAAGATAAGCATTTGGAAGCTTCAAAAAGCAAGACTTAAGAAACCTTGGAGATTAGAAGAGGCTAGTGTGAGTCATTGCCAACATAGGTTACCATTCAAAACGATAGTTAGAATAACAACCAAGTTTTATCTCACTAGGTAAGGTCGGCTACATGAATCATATGATGCCATTGAACTCAGTCAAAAACTAAATTTTCAAAAATATGATTAATTAAAATGTTTTTTTTAATAACTTCGTGTGAGGTTCTTTTTAGATCTCTCTTAACCCCTCTTTACCAAATTAAGAGTCAAGCAATCCACTGTCCCTATTGGAACCTTTAAAAGTATTCTCTACAAGACTAAAGCAACTTACACAATTTTCAATCATCTTTTCTACTGTAAGTGTTATTCCAATATTCTTTCGTATACTATCATTTTGTATTTTTTCCTTTCTCGTATATCTACTCATTCACTTTAACATTTTTATTTCTATTACTCACTTTTTTCTCGTGTTATTTCTTTAAGGCCCATTATTCACTGTCATATAAGATAGTTGGTCATATTACAATACAGTAAAACTTTTTTTTTAGCTTGATAGGTACTTTACAATCACAAATAACTCATGATATCTTTTTTCACTTTAATCACTTACTTATATTATGTGAATAACATTTTCATTAATTTTCCATCATTTTGTATAATTGATCTCAAGTACATAAACCTGAAAACTTGTGATAAAATATCATTACCAATTTTAACTTTCAACGCATGATTCTCATCTTGATTTTTACTAAACCTACAATATATATACTTTGTTTTACTCCTACTCAAGCGAAAATCCTTAGAATTCTAAAGTCTCTCTCTATAACTTAAATTTAACATTAAACTCTTCTTTCAAATCCTCAACTAATACTATATCATTTACAAAGAGCATACACTGAGGGATAAACTTCGGATGTCATTTGTAAGCACATCTAAAATTAAACTAAACAAAAGTACAAAGCAGAGTCTTGATGTATATTTATTCCAATTGAGAAATCCTTAGATACGTCTGCTGAGTTCTCATACATATAATTACTCTATCATACATATCTTGTATAGTCTAAATATATGTTACACAGACCCATTTCTTTTCTAAAACCTTTCATAGCATTTTTCTTAGTATCCGATTATGTCTTTTTCAAGTCAATAAAAATCATGTGTAAGTCATTTTCTTGTCATCTTTTGTAAAAGATATATAACATCTGCTGTAGAACTTCTTGACATAAAATCAAATTAATTTTCTGCAATCTCAATTTTCTCTCATATTTTACGTTTAATCACCTTTTTTTCACAATTTCATAACGTGACTCATGAGTTTAATCCCTCTATAGTTCACATAATTTTGGATATCACCTTTGTTCTTGTATATAAGATTAGAAACCAAAGTGTTCTCTATCTATTCATCTAGCATATTCTTAGATCTCAAAATCTCATTAAAAAGTCCAGTGAGTCACTTCAATCCTTATTTTTTCAAACTTCTACAGGGATATTATCAAGGCCATCCACTTTACCATTCTCTGTCCTCTTAAAAACTTCTTTTACTTCTTTAACTCGAATTCTGTAGTAATATGTCAAATTTAGATCATTCATTTGCTCTTCTAATCCTGCTTAATTTCTACTTACTCCTTGTCCATCAATCTTTGATGCCTCTCCGAAACTTACCACACAAAAAACACCACCATCAAAATGATAGTTGTGGAAGGAAAAACACCACTAGTATGATTCAGCTAGAGGAAGGAAGCACGGCAAAATTATTGCTGGTGAGAAGAGAAATCACCACTAGTCTAAATAATCATTGGAAAAAAGCCACCCCCATAATGCCTTTGAGGATTTCTTATCCTCTTTTGTACCTTTCTCTTCTTTCTTAATAAATTCCTTGTTTATAAAAAATAAAGAAGAAAGAAGAAAGCCACCAAAATGATCTTTGATGGAAGAGAACAGCATGATGAAACATAACATTCAGCATCAGATGTCATGCTTGAGTCAAATATTGTCATAAAAGCCATAGAATCAGACATTATAAGTTATATTTACAAAAGACAAAAAAAATGGAACCAAAGTAGGAAGATAAACCAAAACCAATAAATTAAACACCTACAGATTCAGTATGTCCAGTCAATGAGTGTACTAAGCTGCCATCAGAAGCATTCCAAACACAAATTCTGCAATCTACAAGAATATCTTGCTGTCAGATGAAAAATAGTTTATTACCTTCAAAACCACAACAGAAGAATAAAATGGCTATTGGCTGCTACATTATCTTGACACATCCACAAGAGTGGTAACTGGTATGATAGCAAATTCAATGCATGAATGATAAAGGTCTTGTGTGTCATTTCGTGTTTATGTTACAAATCACAAAAGTACACCATTGTTTTCACTTATTTCATATGTTATCAAATATTTGTACAGGAACTCATGATCATGAAAACCCCAAAATGTTTTCACCATTTCCCATTCAAAACTTTAAATATTTGAAAACAGAAAACAAGGTGATACTTTCATAGTTTTTCAATAGAAATACAAAATGGAAAACAATTTCTCAAACCAGGAATATCCGTAAGTAGTCCTAAAATGTTTTCTGATATTGTCATCACATTGCATGTATAAAGGCATACCAAAAACAATCATAAACTGACTATTTAACACAACGCATTTGTTTACCAAGGAGACAGAAGCCCTCAAATATTATTCTATAGACTAACTCTCCATGTGCTTCATAAATTGAGAATGTTAAGTTCTCATATTTGATATGAATGCTTTTAAAAATATTCACACGAAACTAACATTTCCAAAAATATTTTTTAATTAAGTTTTTTAAGAAAACATTTTTATGGGAGGGCCAAGAATCTAAGACTCCTCTAAACAGAGTTTTTATAATATAAAATATGATAATATCCTTCAATGTTCTCATACTATGGAGCATGTTTCAAAGTCACTAGTGTCAAGTGTAGTAAAAACAATTCTTCTATTTTAAATGAACAATCACTATAAACAAAATAATAACACTAGTAGTAACTCGTACATAATATAACAAAACAAAACCCTCCCAAGAAGACAAAAGAAAGAAAGAAACAAGAAGAAAAGGAAACAAGGGGGCAGGATGAGAAAGGGAAACAAAACCAACTTACCCATTATAGCTGCAAGGACAAAGCGGTTGTCAAGGCTCCAAACAATCATATTTACACCACGTGGAGTTGGTAAAATTCTTTGACGAGGACCACCTCTCTGAGGTTGAGGAGGCATGGGAGGAGGTGGAACTCTCAGATGATATGCTCGTGTCCAGCGACCACTTTTTCCCTAAATGAAATAAATTTAACAAGTTGATGTATAAATTACCACTCATTGTCCAGCCGCAAACAACTCTCACTTTCTGTTTAGAGAGAGAGAGAGCAATAACATCTGTAGAAGGAAATTATATATGAAGACTTACATGTGACCTGCGAGATTTGGGAATCCATATAATAGCACTCCCATCACGAGAGCAAGTAACTATGTTGTCATGATTCAACCTGGAATAAAATATAGCCATTTAGACTTTAGATAACAGAAGCCTAGAGAATTGGGCATATAACATTTCTTATTCCAAGAAGCAAAGGAAAGGGTGCCAAGAGTTAGATCACTTTAGAAGCTACTTCTTATTCCCAAACACACGCACACAGACACACAAACACACCAAGAATTCTTAAACTTGGGGATATTATCTTCCTTCCAAGTTTCTGCTGTGGAAAACCGAGATGCTACTGCACATCCACTGCAAAATAGCGAGTGACTGACATCAGCATGCAAAAATTTCATCTGTCAAAGCTTAAAACATACTGAAACATACTAACCTGAATTGCACATAATTCACATCATTTTCATGCCCAGAAAGCACATCTATCTCATGATTTGGTTGGTCATTGTCATCCATACTAAGTTTACAAGCATTCCACACCTAAAAAACCTTTTAAGTTAGCTTGAAGAATTGTGAAACTGGAAATCTATTTGGTGGACAAAAATTGCAAAAGCCAGAAATCTACTCAAACAAATTCAGTGCATGTTTGCTTTCATTATTTTACAGTTACACTCACGAAAGATGCAATAGATGTCAGCGATATGTCTGATTACAGATGGATAACCATATAAACTGATTACTGAAAAGGATCAAACACCACATAAACTCTTTTCAGAGCAAAATTTAGGGTCCACAAAATGCACCTAATTGCTAATTGGATGTCTTGTTATCATTTGACATTGTAATGAAATTGACCAGTGACCATGTCTAGGTGGTCAGAAAATGGTTAAAACCTAGAAGATTCTCAATAACTGAAAGGCTAACAAGTAATTGAAAAAGAGTGACCAGGAATTAACTAGCACTAATAAACAGGTGGACATGTACATTGATTTCCTATAAAAGGCTTGAACAGGGATAGAAAAGAGACTTCTATTTAGAGAGGAATCCATCTTCTGCCACTTGAGAGATTACTTTTTCCTCAAACCATCACAATTCACAAACACACCAGAAGATCAAAAGTAAGGGGAAAGAACCACGAAGTAAAAACAGATGGTTATTTTCCACAAGCAAACAAGAACCTAAATAAACCTTCAGTGGTTAAGACTTATGACTACAGAATATATTAATGCATGTCAGCTAACTACAAGTATGCACTTACACACACACACACACGCACGTACCCTGGCAAGATTATCAGAGCTACCAGTTACAAAGACAGTTCCATTAGCATTAAATGCACAGCAAAAAATTTGATGGCTTTGTGACATAGTACTTGAAGATGGGCCACTGCTCCTCCCTACAGTCAATAAGTTTTTCCAAGTTAGTTCTTTTCTACAAGAAGTCACTCAATCATAGTTCACAAAGAATCAACTAACCAATTACATAATCAGAAGGTCTTGGAACATATAATCTTGGACTTGACTGGGTATGCCTTGCATCCCATATCCTACAAGTTCCATCGTCAGAGGAACTGCAAAGTAAACAAAATATCACCAAGTTCAGGCATAAGGGTGAGGATTGCCCAGATAAATCATGCCAGAAGGATAAATGCCCACAAAAACATATAGCCTAAAGCTGAAAGGGAATTTTTCAGTGTCATAACCACACAACACAGCATTAGTTCAGGCATCATTAAAAAAGATAAAACAAATGTTTTAATCAATTGACACATCAATCCAACTCACACAAACAAAATCTAATTGAAGTAATTGGTGAATGAATGTATACTAAAAGTAGTCCCTTAATTAATATTTCACAAACAATTATTAAGACCTAAAATAAAAAGAGAAAATCAGAGAGATTACATCAAGAATTTGATACAAGCAAAACAGAAAGAGACAGCTACAAACATAACTGTATTCAATAATTGCTGGTTGATACATAGTTTCTATATTTTCCTATCTACTGGTCAAAGAAAGCCCACATATTATTTCAATAAACAATACATATTTGGATGATGGTTAACTATATCTCGTGACTGGATTGGTACATTCAATATTACTAAACATATTTGTAAATAAAATAAAACTATACATGCATCCACATTGCTAGGCATAAAATTATATTGTCAACTCCTTTTCTTCCTGTATTGAACAGAAGACTTACGATAGAAGTTGGTATACAGCATTAGGTCTGGGACTAAATGCTATTGCTGTAACAGCTCCAGTATGTCCTCGCAAAACTGATATTGGTAAGCCATCTGGCAAGCGCCACTATGAAAATCCAATAGTCAAACATAAAGTACCAAAAATAGTCCAGGGAGAAGCAATAGCAGAATACAAAAACAAGAAACTTGTGGAATTAGTCACATGAAAGCTTACAACTCGAATGACACAGTCATTTGATGAAGATGCAACTAAAGCGTTGTTAGAACTCACAGCCAAGTCAGTGATGTCACCCTATCAAATAAAGCATATACTTCAATCTAATAGCCAACAATTATTGAAGAAATGGAAATCTATACCAACAGACAAAAACATATTTATAGTACAAACACAAACTCACGTCGTGTCCACGGCAACTGGCCAAACAATATGCAGTTTCCATAGACCAAACTTTTACAAGCCGGTCATCTGAACCAGTAATCACATATCTTCCTGACCGATCAAATATAGCTGTAGAATATATATGAAGGTAAACTTAGTAGCATGACAAGAAGCAGCATACCTCCAAAAAATGGTCTAAATATAAGCTAGAGTATTTAAAACTATATAAAATAACCTACCACAATAGACAGCATTACGGTGTCCTCTTAACCTCTTGATATTTTGCATCTTTTGAACCATGGTAGAAGGTTTTGCAATGGCATAACATGCAGCACGTATGGATGGTGCACGGTGGTGTCTTGGGAAACCACCCCCAATTTCCCTCAAATTAAGCCCATGAACCTGATTGGCTTTCATATGAGGCCAACGCAAATGAGGAGGTGGTCGTTTGATTTCTGGATTCATTTTCTCCCTATCATCTGTAGTAAAGAAATCTAATAAATACTGATAGCAAAAGGCAAAGCTAATTCAGCTGAAGGCACAGTTAATAAGGGCAACTTTATTTTTATAAACAAAGAATTTACAAAGAAAGAAAGGAGGGATACAAATGCAAGAGGTTAAGAAATACTCAAAAAATAAACCAAGAACAAAGGAAAAACACCCCATAAAAGACCATTAGCAGAACACCATAAAGAAGCTAAGTGAACTACTCAATTGCAAATGAACTTGAAAGGGAATGCTTGCCCAATAAAAAATCTAAAACATTTATTTCCAATCATATACACCAAACAGCTGCAATTCATAAAAATGCCAAAGCCTTGTAGCATCTCCATTGGTGCCAAAATCTCTAAAATTAACATAAGGAACTTCTGGAGATCCTTGAGGCAAACCCAACCTTCACCAAACAAATTCCATAGAAGGCAATCTTTATTTGTTCCATAATTAATAATCAGTAAGATGACAAATTCATATGAGAATTTTCACAGAAATCCGAAGTGTTAAAAGCTGATGATAATTAAAGTACAACCAAATGACACGTACGGCTCAAAAGTGAAAATGAAGCCCTTCCTAGAAGAGTAGGTACATCAGCTGCATTTGGAGCATTTCCAGAACTCATACCCAGCGATGGGGAGGCTGTATTTAATAACAATTGCTTCAAAAGCTTTACCAAGTGATCCTTTTCAATATGTGGATACCTATATAATAATAATTACAACGTCAGTGAAAAGATCATAAAAGAGAATGAATACATAAAACAGGATATCAATACCTATATAATAATTAATTACAACATCAATGAAAATATTATAATTCATAAAGGAGAAGGGGTACATAAAAATACCTCTCCACTAACATATTGTAATTTAAAGGGAATGATAGACCATCATCATCTTCATCTCCACTATGTGCCCCAGTCCTTGAATACCAAGCATGATACCTTCTAGGCAAAAGTTGATGCTCAAGAAGCTCATTCCAGAACTGTAAATAAGTTTTATGACATGGCCCAGCAGAAAGAAAGTGCATAATGAGAAAATAAACTTCCTTAAGGTCAACATCCACATCCATGTCATGATTCTGATTTGCCACTTCAAGCTGAGCTTTCTTAGGCACCTTACTGGAAAAGCTCAAATGCTTCATATTAACAGATGGTGCATCAGCAGAAGGTACATACTTCTGCAAAGCCATATTCCTGTAAAGCATCAAAGGAACAAATAAAGCACCAATCTTGAACATACTCCCTAAAGTTAAGAAAAGAGTGATAATAAAATTAAAAGACAATTATTGAGGAGATCATTAGCTAGAAGAGTAACAAACAGAAGATGGTCAAGACTCTGATTTTGAATTCATTTATCAAGAAAGGATGCAAAATAAAAAAAAAAGTAACACTTTCTTTCGCCCGCTTATTTCCCACAATTCCACTGTCCCAAGAAAAACAAAATAATAATTACCACCTTTCCATCCCATCCCCACCCTATCACCCTCATTCCAAAAGACTGATACATTTTAATTTTAACTCAAAATTAAGCAACTGAGCAAGAGACATGACTAATGAGCATTTAACACCATCAGCTGCCTGTCTCAGAGATAAGTAACATCCTTGACGATATAGTAATAACTAATAACATAACCAATAGTGGCCCAGTGCACAAGGCTCCCCAAATGGAACAGTTTTGGAAGGGAAACCTTACCCCACAAGCATAAAGGCTGTTATCAGGATTTGAATGACCTGTGCACTGAGGCTCATTCTTAATATAGTAATAACACAAAAAAAAAAAAAAAATACCATGTTTTAAAGGAAAATGAGGCTTATTTATCCACCCTCCCAGGCAAATAACAATGTATTTTACAGTATAGGTTCTTGCCAAGAATAGACAGTCTCAATCAGACTACTGTGCTGTTAATGATAGAGGGAACAAATGAAAGGAAGCACCACAGCTAACAAAGCAGGACAACCCTAAAGCCTTTAGAGTATGATCCAAGAATACACCAAGTAGTAATATCCTCACAAGTTTTGTAGAATTTCTTAGATGTTTCAAGCAGGAAGATGTAATGAAAACCGAGGACAGTGAGAATTGATTATTCAGATTTTGGAGGGAGGACAAAGAGTTCCTTTTTATTTCTTATACTTACAGTGACATCTTTCTCCATTGTCCAGCATGGTATCAGGTAAGTATAGGGTCACACCATGGATAAATGCTTCATTGGCATCTATTAGGTACATCACTGCATGCATTCAATGAGCATGCTGTGACATTATACTCTAGGCACCATCTCTGAAGCACCTGCTTCAGGATATAAAGCAGTGATCAGAGTTTGTGATAAGGAAGGTCAGCATTCTGTTTGATGAGTTTCATGTCAGTAAGCATGGTAGGAGGGGAAGTTGATAGCGACAGGGTGAATAAAAACAACCATGCTACTCTCAATCAAGTGCTTAAATTATGTTGTGCCTTACTAGTAACACTGTAGCAGGGCCTCTCATCTTAATTAGAATCATGGTGTGACACAAGGGAGGCAGCTTCATCCCACCACCACCATACCACACAGTAAGTAGTTCCCAAGGGTCATTGAGTAAACCCCTCTACTTGCTTTTACTTTGAGGAATGCAGAGTGCTATCCTTGCCTCAGCTTTCCTATCAACAAGTCTCCTGTGTCAAGTACTTGTCCATAGAAGTATACCCATTTGAGTTTGGACTTTTGGCAATGACATTGGCATAATAGTGAAAAATCATGCATCAAAACAACAGGATAATATATTTTGCCCACTCTCTGCCCTTACTTTTATTTCTCAGCCACAACTGTTTACAATGCATTGCCTAAAATCACCAAAAACTCCTTCAGAGTAAGTATGAGTGACGTATATTAAAAATATGACCATGAAATCAACCACTAAAATTGACAATGATATTATACCACAAGTATCTAAGTTCAGGTACTGGAGATTGATTCTACAGAATGATAAATAAATTAATGAAGATGTTACTCATAAAATACTAGTTAGGTGATTGAAGTGAAGAAAAACATCATGAATTATTTGTAACAATAAAGTAACTATCAAGTTAAGGGAAAGTTTTATCGTACTGCAATACAATTAGTTATCCTCTATGATAGCAAATGTTGAGCCTTCAAGGAACAACACAAGAAAAAAATAAGAGTGGTAGAAATGAGAATATTAAGGTGAAAGAATAATTGCTCAAGAAAAGACAGGATAAGAAATTATAATATACATGAGAATATTAGAACACGTATAGTGGAAAAGATGATTAAAAACCATTTAAGGTAGTTTGGTCACGTGCAGAAAAGATCTTTAGAGACATCAATGAAAAAAGTGGATTGCATGACTTTTAATTCAGTAAAAATGGATATAGGAAAACGCAACAGAACCTTAGAGGAAGTTATTAAACGAGACCTTTTGATTAATCATATTTTCAAAAACTAAGTTTTTGACCAAATTCAACGGCATTATATGATCCATGTAACCAACTTCACCTAGTGAGATAAGGCTTGGTTATTGTAGTTGTTTGTTTTCTTTTGACCACCTAGTATAATGATCAAGGGATCTGTGGGATACACGATAAGGTAATTCTCTGTCATCTCTTAATGTCATAAGTAACATAATCACAATTCAAAGAAGATATACAAATTCATTAATCACTATATAGTTTCAATGAGATGAACCAGCAAGCACATTCATACTAAACTACTAATTTGGTAATCCAAGCCTTTTGACCATTTTCCACTCCACGTTCACATATTAAGTCTGCATACATCTACCCTCCCTAGACCCCTTAGGTGGGTGCCTCATGCACTGACTTGTCCTTCTATCCCTCTTCCAGCATGCCTAATATATCTCAGGCAAATGATAATGCTCCAGCCACATAACTGAAACCCCCTAATTGTTCTGTTAACATATGACCTAAAGCTATTAGTCCCTCAAATATTCAAGCTAAAAACAGTAAACATCACCCAACTGCATGGTATCCCATCCAAGACAGAACATTCCTCAAAAGAAAACCTATTCAGTATCCAAACACCAAGATCTAAACATAGTCATGAGAAAGAATCAGCACACACAAGCAATTAAGCAAAAGATTAAAAAAAAACAGTGTGAGCCTTGTGTTCACATTCCAAAACCACTCCGAAAGAAAATCAAAGGATAACAGAATATCTGCAGTAATAGGCCTAAAATGCATTACTAAAATAAAAACACAAGCATTCAATCCGTACTCAGAAATTCAAATCATGTAAAACTATTCTCCAATCAATAAACTCAAATTTCATTCATCATCCATCAAACCAAATATTCAAAGGCCAGCGTAATTAAAATAAAATAAATAAATAAACTTACGAATGAGTGACAGATTCAGCCAGAGAACCAGTCTCCAAAACTCCTATCTACACCTCTGAAACCCTGACCCTCCAGAGAATTCATCACACATTCCTCTGCAACATTTAAAAACAAATAAAAAAAACCCTAAATTCAATATGCCAAAGCTTCCCAACCACATAAATCAACCACAACGCGTAGTAAAATTGGCCGCAGAAACCAATCAAAGAAAATCCAACACATGCGCAAAAACAACATGAATCCTTGTAAAACAAAAATTATCCAAATTGCAAAATAAAAGAAATAATTTTCATTCAAACAAATGCCATCAATGGGATTGACTTGGCATTAGGTTGTACTTGTCGCTTGTTCTTGTACCTCTTAGATTCAAATTCGAAAGAAAGCAGTGCCTAACTCAAAATTCTGCAGAATGCATTGCGAATCACGCGCCATAATGCGAAGTTAGATTTAGGAGTACTGTGCTACACGTTTCTCTTCAATTTTTCAGGATATATAATAATAAATAAGCAAATATAATGTGGAGAATGGGGAGGCACAGGAGCGAAGAGAAGGAAGCACAGAGAACCACCAGGGAAGAAAAGAGATTGAAGCAAACGATGCGTTTTAACTTTTGGATACGGTCTCAGTAGAAAAATGTTTATAGAAAAAAAAAGTAAATATTTAATATAATATTTTGTAAAGTCACGCGCTGGAGTGAACATCCATATTTTGGGCACTGCTTTAAAACGGAGTCATCTCCTCTGTATTCAGCATTGACATTATAATTTTATTTTTTTTTAATTTTTCCAGATTTTATTAGACAATATGATTTAAAAATTCAGTTAATAACTAATTCAAAATAATGAGATTTTGAATGAAGTAATAAAATAATGTGATTTTCTGTTTTTCTATACTAAGTGCGGAGATGAAAACAAATTATATATATAATAAAGATGTTATTATTTTTTATATTATTGAATAAAAATTAAATATATTCCTTCTTTTCTTTAATTTCATAAAAAAACAACAAAACGTATGTTATTTCTGAAAGGAGGAAAAATTAACATTTATTAAGATATACTAGAATATATTTGTATATTCATAAATTTAAGGTAATTATCACTTTAATTAATTAAATAAATAAATTATAATAATACAAAGATAAATTTTGATTTAAATAAATTAATATTAAACTCAATAAAACATCGTGTTAACAAAAAATTATTAATTTTATAATAACTAACATAAAAATTTATACTTAATATATTCTATAATTGCTTGATAATATAAAAAATTACAATAAAAACATATTAAAATTAAACTTATAAAAATATAATGACTAATTTTAAAAAATAATAACAAATTACGAGTAAATTATATGACATGTAAAAGATTAAATAAGAAAATTTTATCCTCTATTTTGTAATACACAATTTGAACTTCAAATTTTTAAATTATACAACGCGATATCTTACGGGTGGTTTCGCTTATCATGCATATACGTAAGAAATATTTCCATTTAAAGAGAAAAAAAATGCTTTTAGCATGTTTAATTTAAATTACGAGTTTTTAAATGGAAATTAGACATGCTAAAAGCATTTTTTTTATATTTAAATATATTAATTATTGAAAACAATAAACTAAAAAAATTTTAAAATATTTAAATAAACAAACTTTCTTTAACAGATAATAGAATTTATAAATAAATCACAACTAACATTTAATGAATCTTATATAAATATATTATTAATAATGTGACAATATATTAAAATTCTTTTAAAATATGAAATAAAAAATAAATTTTTAAAATTGTAAATATAAAAAGTCACAAAACATGTGCATAAGAAAACGAAAAGTAAATAAAAATAGACTAAATGAAGTAATCAAGTTTAAATAATTATATAAAATAAATTTTAAAAAATCCATTTGATAATTTAAATAAAAAATCAATTTTATATATAAATTATACTCCTTCTTTAGTCCAACAAATGGTAAAAACTAACCCTGTAAGCATCCTTATTAAAGAAAGAATAAACTGCAAAGAGTACTGAGAATTAAAATATTTACAATTCTCAGTCTCAAGGCTTATGATTATCCAAATTTGCAAGAATGTGAGCTTTTCTTCACATGTGAAACACAAATAATTCTAAATCAACATATTTATTTCAAAAATCATTAGTTAAGCTTGTGGCCCTTGACAATATTTGACCTTACTAAATGAATTAGTAGTTTAAAGTTCATCTTCATTTCTACTTTATCTAAATTTTAATCTCTAATGTTCATTTCTAACTAAGCTTTCACAAATTTTCTTTTTTATGCTCCTTGTTACTTTATTATGCTTGACAAAGTCATTCACGTTTAACTTTTACTTTAGACGTACGTCATCTAATAAATTCTAATTACACTTCTTATATCATTAGTTATTTATATTATCAATAGATTAATTAACATACCGCCCTCTATGACGAGATTAATTAATAAAAAAACTTAAATTATTTTAGAAGTTAATTAATCTCATATGTTTTACAAGTTTTCTTATTTTAAGGAGTTTTATATTAACTTTTGTTTTCTTGCCCCCATTTACTTTTAAATATTTTTTTTTTCTTTTGAACTCTCAAACAAAACCTAGATAAATTATTGTCTTATTCTTAGAATTAAAACAACAAAAGTATTAACAATTCTTTATTTAGTTTTCATGGACAAAAACATCTTACACTAGTTTTAAAAAATCAACCTTTATATACTCTAATAATTCTTGAAACCATCTCAATTAATGGGTTTTAAAAGTTCTATACACATCATTATTTTCTTGACTGGTCTCTCTAAAAGTTAAAACTCCTGTCAAAACACAAAATAAACTTATCAGTTAAAAATGAAAATTAAGTGCATGTCTAATAATAAACTAACACAACCATGCAACCACGTAAATATTATCTCTCAATCTCATCTAAAAATTAAAATATGTTAATTTAAAGCAAAACATCTCCACCGCAATTTGTATCTAACAAAAAAAAAAAGTGTTCAAATATTTTCACTTTTCAATTCGTGATATATAAAAGATTAACTCTGTTTGCTAAAATGAGTTAACTGATAAAATTGATGGCTAATAAGCATTGAACCTTAGTTAAATTTGTAATGACTCGATACCTCGTAAAGACTTTGGTGAGAAGAACTTACGGGCAACAGAAGAACTAGAAAATTCAATACCTGTAAATTCTTATAAAGAAAGAGCCTAAAGTACTAAAACATTCATCTTTTGATGAATTTATGCTCCTCTAAAATGGACTTATTTATGCTTATGAAAAAGAGAATTGATAATTCACATTAATCTTGTTGAGAGACTTTAGGAACAAATCCATATGCAAGCATTAATTAATAGAGAATAACTAGGTCCAATGCATTTACAATAGTGGAATGCTGGTTACAAATCATTGATTTGTTATTGTTGGACCATCAATAGTAATATGGCCTTTTCTCATACTTACTGTGGTTGGTGGCACCAAATAAAAAAATGATCCTTGAGAAGATGTTAAGATAGTGGATTGAATGTCATAAAAAATAAAAGAAGGACCTAAGCAAAGGCAAAAGTGTGAAAATGAAAGAAATAGGGTTTTCTTCATAATTAAATCATAACTCCATCAATGGTGCTTTGTCACTTATAGTCCAAGATGGATGGGGCATTGGAAGAGAAGAACAAATTTTGAAAGGTTTGAAATAGTAACTAAACTTCTACTAAACAAATATTGGAGTTATGGACATCTTGGCATGTGTGAGCTTGTCAAGGGCAAAGTTGAGAGATATGAAAAGAAATTTATGGACTAAGGTATGCACATCTTTCTCTATATTTATCAAATGATGTAACGTAGTATGGACAAACCAAAATTTGAAATAATTTTAAAAATTGTAAAAGAAGTTATTGGCCATAAAATAAAAAGGACAAATTATGATTTAGATAAGTACTAATGAAAAATATTTTTTCAATAATTAAAATAACTTTCCTCGTTGTAAAATTTTAGATTTGTTGTCATCTGTTTAGTTTATTCATTTATTGTTTATTGTTCGCCATTATAGTCCATCACTCTCTTTGCAAGCATATTGTGAAAAGTTCTCCTCTTTACCTCGATTATTGCTTTCTAGCATTGTTTCATTCTTTATCACATGTATGTATGAGTTCTTTTTTTCTTTTTTCACTAACACCATTATCTCTTCTGTATTTTGTGGTTGATTTCCTTATAATCATTATTACATGGCCAAAACAACCACAACTTATATGCAAACCTCCATGCTCCGTAAGATACCAATAATTTCTTAGGAAAATCATTTATACCACTAGTTATGTTAGGCAAAAATTATTAATTATTAACCTTAAAGTCGTTTTTGTAAATAGAAACTCACCATCTTATATAAAGAGAGTAAAATGTAGAGGAAAGTACTTTTGAAAGCTTATAAGAGACAAATAGTACTTAGTATTGATTTTTGACATTACGACAAGACTAAAATTAAGGAATCTATTAGAATTTTAGAAGATAGTTAAATTAATAGAAAAAACACAATACAATAAACTTGACTGAGAGAGATAGAAAGTCAAACTCCTTCAAAATGTTGTTCAAATATTGCCAATTCATTTTATCATAGACTTTTTTTTATGGCATTATATAATTTAAATAATTTAACATATCATACATATTTTAATATATTACTCATTAAATAAAATATAAATATAAACACAGAAGTACATGAAAATACAGCCAAAAAAAATGCTAACAATGAATTAAAATTAAGCTCTATAATATTGGAGTAGAATTGTTTTATACGAAAAGCTTGACACATCGTATGTTTTCATGCTATTGCTTTATAGAACCAAAAAACAAAATGTTCGTCCAACACAACTGCAGGCTAAAATGGGCCAATCAAAATTTTCTTTTGTAAAATATCCAACATTTTATTGCATGGCCTTTTCCTTCAGAAAGCTACAACTTGACAAGCTTGGGCTTAGAATCGAAAACTTTTAAAAAGAAAAGTTTGTAGAACCAAAAAAGAAAAGGGCAGGGATTTGATCCTAAGGACTCTGGTTAAAAAAATTTAAAGTGATTTTTAAAATAAATCGTTGAATTGTGTTTAAAAAATGAGAGCGGTTTATTATTAATATTTTTTTTAACAAAAGTCTTTCATTTTTTATTTTTTTAAGAACATTATTTAACATTCGTCGAAGTTTATTTGTCTGAGAAAATTATTTTATTTAAAGATAAAGTATTAAAGTAATAAATGGAAATGTTTTATTTTTTAATTAGAATAATTTTAAATCCTTTTATCTTGTATTTAATAAATTTTTTAACTACTTTAATGGCTTGTGCAATGCACATATATTTTATTTTAAAATAAATATACATATAATTTAATAATTAAAAATTTTATAATTTTATAAATAATTATATATATATGATGAAATCATTTTCAATAATAGCTTTTATTTAAATTTATTTTGATTTAATTTTATAACTATAAATATTATATATAAAAATGATAAAAATTTAATAAATATTTAAAATATAAGTTAGATAAGAATCTTAAAAATAAATTTTAAATTAAAAAAATAGAAAAATATAAGATAATTTTTATAAGTGTAAAAATAGATATTCATGAATAATTTTATAATATTAGGTAAAAGTTTATATAATTTTAAATTTATATAGTTTTAATTTTCAATATTTATTTTCTTGGTATTTATTTTTGTGTATTTAATTAAAACAAATTGATAGTTTAAAAAAATTTACACTATCATTCAATTTATCATGAATTGTCAGATAAGTAAAAGTTGTAATAATTATTTTAAAATTCACATTTGAGATTTTTTAATTAGTTAAAACATACAAGTATTTATATTGATAGTATATGAATTTTAAACTTTAATACAAAAATTTATACTTTTTATTCGTTTCAAATAATATTTCTTAAATTTAGGTAATCGTAATTTAAAATTTAAATCTCAACACTCTATATTAAATTGAATAGATACAATTACTAAAATATAGTCAATTTAAAATTGAATTTAATTTTAAATTTTGATAAATTATATCCAATTAATAATAACATATCTGAATTTAAATGGTTTATTTTGTATAATTTCTTCATCAATTTCAAATGTGTTATTTATTTAATTTATTTTTGTATAATAAAATATAATTTTTATCGTTATCGATTATGAATATATATATATATATATATCAATATTTTTACCCATAAAATATACGAAACACTTATTAATTAGTAAAACAAAATTTAGATAACTAAGATAAGTAGTCAAGTGTCTCATTGTATAGCATTATCCAAAAAAGAAAGGATAATAAACCAGACAAATTAACATCACATTTTCAATTATTTTGTGGATGAAACAACGTAGACTTTTAGGACTAAGATTAGGATTCCAACATCACATGTCACTCTTAAGGGAAACTGTTGCATTGATGTAATCATCAACAACTTCAATGTTCCTTTTCCCACCAAACCCAAATGGGTACTTCTTTTGTTTATTGGGAGAGAAGAGTCCAAAATGTTTCTCTATCTCTGGGTTCTTCTGATTCTCATCAAACATAGCAAACAAATAAGTCTCCGTTGGCTTAGAAGGCCTTCTTGGGGTACCCCTTCCAGCACGACGAATCAAGTTATCTAAGTACACACGTGCATTATCATAAGTAGCGGCAAAATCTCCCTCCGAGGGCCACCCACTCTCGGACACAACAACTTCAACATACCCAATTCCAGTGTTATCAATAGCTGCATGCACCGCATCCAACATAGCATCAAACAAATTTTGGTACCCATATTGACCATCCCACACCACAACATTTGGAGAGGTGAAAAGAGCATAGGGAAGTGATATATCACGAGGGTTACCCGTGTAACTAAAATAAGGGTAGACATTTACTAATAAAGGTGCATTAGCATATAACAAGTATCCAATTATGGGGTCAATGTATGACCTCACATCATTCCTAAAGGAACCTTGTGATGGGGGGTAGGAGTTTCCTATTAGGGTCATGTCAATAGCGGTTGAGACCTTGATTTGGTCATGAAGGCCTTGAGCTCTTATAGCTTGGTATATGTTTTGGACAGCGGGTAGAACATATTGGGCAAGCCAAGAAGAGCCTCCAACGGGATTCACTTCGTTGCCAACAGCTATATACTTGATTTTGACACTAGGCCAAAAATTCAACACATTCCTTTGTACCCATTGGCGTGCATTGTCAGCGTTGGTGGCAAGGCCTTGAAGGTCGGAGTTGGGCACTCCAAGCACTAGTTCGATGCCAGAATTTCTAAGTGCTTGTAGAGCACCTTGATTTGGATCATAGAGTCTCATTCTCCTGATGTTGTTTGATCTATAAAGATCTATAACTTCGTTTGCTGGTGGTAGATTGTTGCCCATCATACCATAACAAACACCAATTTGAGCATCTGCTTGCCAAAAAATGATTGAATATGTCGAAATGGTTAGTGCTTTAACTAATTACATGTTATTGCGATTGACGCATAGTAAGCCATGTATATGTGTGGGTTTTACATGCACCAAAGAAATTATTTGATAATATTAGATAATAAAGTTTTACGGCAGTGAGTTGGTAATAAATTAAAAGATATAGAAATAAAATAATAAATTTTAAAATTGTCAAACGTTTTGTTTTGACAAATATACTATTCAAACTTTTTAAAAAAAAATAAATTAAAGACCACTCAAACTTCAACCTTCAACCTTCAACCTACTTGAAGTAAGTACACAAAAAATATGACCAAAAAAATCTAAAATAAAGAAGTGTCATGCCTTAAGAAAAATAGAAAAAGCTAAAAAAAAATAAATCCATGTATGACATCTAAACACTCCAAAAAAGGAGTACAAGTCTAGTCAATAAAAAAAGAGAACAAGACCTAAGGATGTGACAGAGTTTCAAACTTAAAGTACAAGTGGTAAATAGTTGAACACAAATCATAATTTAGACAAAAGCTTTTTGGATAATATATAAGTGAGAGGGTTATATTGGTTTAAATTATTAAACTATTGAAACTTAAAATCTCGCACTTTGATCTTAGATCGGATCACACTTTTTGTTATGCAAAAATTGCTTATTATTTTTAAATTACTCATACAAAAATTATAAGCCCGTTTATTTAAGTTTTTATAAAAAAATAATTTTAAAGGTGTATTAAAGAGTGATTTAAGTTGCAAAAGTTGAATTTATTTATTTACAATTTAAAGTACACTTTTGTTTTGAAATAAAGTTTCAATTTTTAATTTTGTGTGGGAAGCAATTCAAAATACTTTCTTACAATAATTTTCTTTTTCAAAATTAAATAACTTTTTCATTTAAAAAGGCTGAAATTAAGAAACCAGTTATGATTATGCCAAATGAAATGGATACATATGTTAGCAAAAAGAGAGATGGACCTGCGGTGCGAAGGTTTATAGTGAATAGTTCCAATAGAAGCAGAAGAGCAGGCAAAGAGAACCTCTGGGCTCTCGTGAAGAGCGAAGACAGCAGCATGGTGCAGATAATGATTCACCAGAAAAACAATTGAGCTAAATATTGATAGCCCTATTAGGCACAGAATTGATCACACTTTCTCTTGGGACCCTTATATACTACAAATAAATGTGTATACATACAGTTCATTGACCATGTCTTTCCTCACATTTCACTTGTAATTAATAAAATATGCTGATGTCTATGTTTACCAACCTAATAATCAATGCTTATCTTCCAATACCTGTTTCCCATGAAAAGTCTTGGTCTTTTGCCACTTTTCTCATCTAAGTTAGATTTGGAAAAGCTATCTCTCTCTCTCTCGTATGACAAGTTATGTAAAATATATAAGCCATTAAATAGTTATTATTAGATTGCATATTTATTAATATTTAAATTATATAAATTTTCATATACATGGTTATTATGATAATATTATAAAAATTAATAATTAAATCGATAAATCAACTTTTGATGATTTTTTCTTATATATCATGATAAAACAGATTATATTATAAAAATTATTATCTTTTATAAATGTGTGACTTTTATAAGTGTGCGGTTTTGCCTTTTATTATCTAAGTTATTTATATTATTAATTTAAATTCATTCATGATACTAGTTTTTTAATCAATTTGATTTAATCTAAACAATTGCAATCTTAATTTTGTCTTTTTATTCATTAGTATTATAAACTAATGACAACTTTGTTCAACAGATAACTAGTTTGAATTTGGCCAATTTTGGATATATTTTAGCATAAAAGTATTAAAATTTAAAGAGTTAAATTCTTAAATTGATTGGTACTGATTATAATTTGACAGGTTTTAATAATGTTTTTTTTTACAAAGAGAAACATGTTTGGATTAATATGTTCTTTCAGAATTTACCAAAAATTTCTTTAGCCAATATTAAAATAAATTAGAATTCATATTAATTAATAAATTCAATTAATTATTTTATAAATTTGAAAAATTTAAAGGTATGATAGAAATAACTTATCTTATAAGCTTATTTTTGAAGAAAAAAGAAGTGTGATAATTACATGAGACTTAAAGATATAAATAAATTTTTTTATTATAATAATAGATCAGATGAGTCAACTGAATGCTTGGTCATATCTTTTGAATCATTTCATTAGATTAATCATTTTTAAATCGTTATATTTTTAATATTTTTGCTTTCTTTTCTAAAATTATATCATCAATTTGATTACGCTCGATCAAGTATAAGTTCATTTGATTGATGGATAATTATATAATTTTTTACAAATAAAAAAATAGTAAATAATTTTAAAATATATGATAGAAACAATTTTTGGAAACAAATGAATCTGATGATGTCATTTAGCAAGTCAGTTGTTGGTGAAAAACCTTTTTTGTGTAAAAATATTAGATATATATTAGATTTGAAAAAGCATTGGATTAAAGTAAAAATAAATAAATTAAAGATTGATATTACTAATGCATTTAATATCACATGTTGAATGATACTAATGCATTTAATATCAATTACTATAAATAGCGTATATTGTATTCTCAAAATTATTATTATTATTATTATTATTATTATTTTAAATAATATTTGAAATATTATTGGTATAACCTCCACTTGTACAAAAAGCAGTCCAAGCAGGCTTATTTTATTTTTATGATTGATGCAACAAAACAACAAAAAATTCCAAAAGAATAAAATAAAAATAAAAGAGATACAACGTACTATGATGAAATATTGATATGAAGATGTATTTAGACTAGTCAACTCATTGTAAATGCACTTAATTAGAAGAGTCTATCAAGAAGGTGCTGTACACAGAGAGATTAGAAAAGGTATATTTAACAATTTGAACATAATCTAAAGCCTTTTCCTTTCAACTAGCTTGCAGAAAGGGCCCACATTACTAAAAGAATTAATGTTTTTAGAGTTTGGCTTTTCTGAAAAAAATATTTCCATGAACATACATATAAATGATATCACGTATCATGTACCCCACTAAAAGGAAAAAAATAAAAATAAAGATTGATGTTACTAATCAACTAGCTCTCAGTGCAACCGTTAAAAATGCAATTGGCTTTTCTCAATGAATAATGATGCTATCGGCTGCTACACGGCATGTTTGGACTAGAAAATATTGAACATGTGAAAGACAAACTAATAATCAGTACACACATTTTAAATAAATAAATAAATAAAATATTTCTTTCCAATTATATGACATCTTTCAAAATGCAACACTTCAAATAATACGGCGTAATCAATGGCATTGTATACACGCATCTCGTAAATTAAGAAAATTAATCAATTATTAAGATAATACATACTACTTTTTTCACTCCCGTATTCTTCTTATATGAAAATAAACTTTTCTCTCCTAAATAAGTTAGAGATTTAATCTATACATATATGATAAATTATGTAATTATTTACTTTTCAATCTTTATTTTATTAAATAATTTTAACTTTTACTTTATTTTCTAAGATTTTTTTTTAAATTTTTCGACAAGTTAAATTCATATTTCTTATATTATTAGCTTAATGAGCTGACGTTTCCTTCATTATAATATGCAATGATCGATTGCCGCAGTTCAAGAGAAATCGGCAGCTTCAAGAGGAAACACTATATTTATTTTAATCTATTCAAATTCAAGATTTGTAATGAATTCAGCATTCCAAATTGTTATTAATATTAAGAAAATTTTAACATAAATTCTTTAAATTAATTTTAAAAACTTAAAAAATATTATATTTTTATTTAAAAATATTTGTTATACTTTATAATTTTAATATAATAAATGTATATTTTACTGAAAAAAGATTATTTTTGAATACGTAACTCAACTTAAAGTTAACTAAATCTTTAATAGAAGAAATTACAATACGTACACAAATAGTATATGGTTGAATAATTTGCCTTACGGACTTGAAGATAATTAGGGCTGGTGGCTGCCCGATCATTATCATCTATTGCACTTCTGTTAGGCTGTCATAAGTCAACCATGATAATTGATAACCAAGGAAAATCTGATATATACAAAACCCAGTCACTGGTTCTTGCCATTGTAGCATTGCACATGGCATTGAGTGGAATTTGTATTTATGATGATAATTTTTACTTGTATAACTTTTTGAAATATTTATGAAAACATTGGAGTTTAGAAAAAAAAAAGTACACTTACAACATTTAATAAGTGCAACAGGTACTATATATATATATATGAGTTTTTGCTAATCAGTATAATATTTTTACAATAAAAATTTACACATATATAATAATTTTTATTAAAAATTATAAAATTTAAATATATTAATATAATTAAATGCTATAATTTTTAATAAAATTACATCATACATAAGTTCTTATTATGTGCAATGTTTCATAAATTAGATGTGTATATGAATATAAATTACAATTAAGAACAGAGGAAAAAATTAACTAAATGAATATAATACAATTACTAAATAAAAAAAGGGAATCATACTAATAAGATGAAAGTTTTTTTAAATTTTTTATTCTAATATCATTTATCAAATAATTAATAAATTTTTTAAAATAATATTAATATTCAACCGTAATTTGAAGTTTAAGAATTGGTTTGCGAGTAATTAATTTAGGAGTAAAAAATAGTTTTATAATCAACCTTATTTGCTGTCTAACATCTATAATTAGAGTTTGAGTAATTCACAAATAAATATTTCAGTACTACAATTATATGCAAGATTATAATTTTTTCTTTTATATATATTATTGTAATTTCCAAAAACTAAACATTAAGATTAAGCTCAGAAATTAAAGAGAGCGGAACTGAACATTATCAAGTGGCTGATGTCATTGATTGGAACTATTTATGGTGTGGATAGTAAGTGGACTGGTTCTTGCTACGTACCCATCTTCTAAGATAAAGATATAGCAAACCTAAAGAGGGTGGCTTCGCTGAACACAATGACGTCTCTTAGTATAGAGAAGAGTCCACAAGAAAGGAGATGTAGACAACAATTTTCAATTTTCAATTTTCTCGGCACGACCCACTAGGTTGGCAACAACCCATATCAACTTCAATCACCAATGGTTTATAATACATAAACTCAAATTATTTTTTGCTGCTTGCAAATAAATTATGCAACCGCTAGTGATTCTTAAGTCCCTACCCGTCTTATTATTAATTGGTGCTTTTTTTGTTGCCATACTTTAAAATTTAAGAGAAAATTTCAAAATTTCCAAGTTGATCTAACACTATAATAACAAGTGTTCAATCATAATCTATGTAAAATATAAATTCTTAATTTTATAATGTTATATTTATTTGCTCTGGGGACCTCAAGAAGGTTGTATATAAAATAAATCTAAATACAGAAACTATTCAAGATTAAAAGAACCTTACATCACTAGAATATTGTAATACAAAAAGAATAAAAAAATTGAGGCAGGATTCGTGCGCCGCCCACTCCCTTAGTTTGTTATCGTTGTCTCTCATACCAACGATGACCCTCTTCCCGCAACTAGTTCTTTGGGAAGATTCCGGTGACGTGGGTGGAATGTTTGCCCACATGGCTATGACTGAATTATGGAGGAGAGTTGAGATGATGATAGTTTCCGTGGAAGAGATCTATGGTGATGACAAAAGTGGTTACTTAGTTTTTCACATATCCTCCTACAGAGGTCCTTTAATGCAAATTCTTAATAAAAGAATTAACAACAGAATGTAAAAAGTAGAATGAAATATAGTTATAGTATTAATATAATCCAAGTGTATGTCGACCACTGTGGTAATAATAATGTTCATTTACAGGATTAACCTTGCCAATTCTCCTTGACTAAGTTAATTAAGTCCCTAGACAAGAAAAGAGTGAGAAGTAAGAGTAATTAAACAGTAAAAAAAATAAAAATACATTGGCATTGACAAAAAGTAAATTGGCATGAAATGAAGGTTATGTAAATATTTGTGCAAAATGAAGGCTGGGAATAATTGGATGATAGCAATAGCTGAGGCTAATTAAATTTTTTTAGTTGTTTGGCAAAATAGCATACTTATTTTACAGAGGATGACAAGCAACTAAATGATTCATAGTGCATGCTACGAGGCAAGTAAGATCATATCAACTTTTGAATTCCGATCAACAGTAGAAATAGGAGTAGGCAACGAAGCCTTAGTCGGTTGATTTTGTAGCAATGTTAGCAATTGTTGATAATAGCCAGAGTCAACTTTAAGAAAGGATCCATCTTTGTAACAACATTTATTTGATGAACAAAGAAGTTTTGTTTGAAAAATAAATAAAATTGTACATTCTTTTCCTTATGTGATTAAGAATGAAACAATGTGTGCACATATTTTTCTATTTATTAAATTTGATTTTTTTTTATATCTCTCTTAAGTAGATTGGTTAAATGAGAATTTAAGAATATGTTTGAGAGGAAAATTTTGGAGGTAAAGAGATGAAAGAATATATTTTTTAATTTTAAATTAAAATAAATTATATATCACTTAAGATGATAAATGCATGATTAATATATTAAATTTTGTTATTATATCAGTTTATATATTTTATTTTAAATAAATATTACTTTTAAATATTTTTATTTTAAATACAAAATTTATCTCATCCTCTCTCTTTTTTTTAAACTCTCTTTTCCAAACAACTCCTAAACAAATTAGACTCTATGATCTTGTTAAATGACTTTGTAACCACATGAAATGAGAAATAACAAGAAAGTTAAAGATATAAAAAAGAATGAAAAGGCAAAAAAGTAAAAAAAAGTTGAAAAATTCTCTTGATATACCTTATTATAGCTAGAAAAACAAAATAAAGAAATCAAATTTATCAAACTGAGTCTTAATACATACATGCAGAGAGACAAATAACTATATAACAAACTTAATAAACTAAAAGGTCATATGCTAACTTATGGTAATAAAATAACATTAAAAGAAAAAAACAGAACAAAATGTTAGGACCTCCTCCATTCTTCTAAGAAAGTTTAGGGTATTAAAATCTAAACTCACTCTTTGTAATTTATAAGAAATTTAGTTTTAAAATGAATTTTGTACATACATTACTTTGTACGTACATTACAAAAACTTTTTAAAACACAAAAAATTAAAATTTTTAAACAAATATATCCTCTTAAGTTATTAATGTCTTCTTAATGATTAGACCTTTCCCCCAGAGTAAAATGGTTAGACAGTTTAGATTAATCTTTCATCGTCATGTATATCAGCTTGAATTTTCATTTAATTCAAAAGTTTGGTTTTCTAATTTGCAGAGGCAGGAAAACTATTTAATATGTTTATTGTTAGTTTACAAATATCACGAAGAATAGCATGCGCAATGGAGCTTTTGAAAGTAATCACATGTTTAGTTTGATAAAATTATCTTTTTAAATATGAAAACTGACATACAAATTTGTTGATATAACTTTTAACATTGGCATTTGAGAGTAAAAATAAAATTAAAATTTAAAGTTATAGTTTAAAATTGGAATTAATTAATTTCAATTTTTATCTATAGAAGTACTTATTAAAAATAAGACATACTTAAATAAACTGTTAGTTAAAAATAAATTTATATTGTGATAATGTTTTTGCAATCGTAATACTTAATAGATTATCATGAATAGTATAAGAAATTGAAAATATTAAAAAATTATAATTAATCAATTAGTTTTAATATTAATTATATTATTATTTTTAAATAAACGAAGATCAAGTTACTTGAAGTAAATTAAACAAAATTTACTTTAACTTAATAACATAAATATTAAATTTTAAAAAATAATTTTTCCTTGTTATTTGTAATCGTTGCTAATTTGATAAATTTTATATGCAAGAAAATTTTAATATAAAACTTTTTATTAAATACATCGACTTCACATGTTTAAATTAGATAAAACATAAAAAGTATTTTTATTATGAATAATAAATATTTTATTATATTAAATAATATATAAATAATAAAAATAAAAATAAAAATTGAAAAGAAAATTGTAACAATAAAATGTATGAATCAATATCAACACATATTTTTCTAGGTATATTTATATTTTAAATTATGATTAGTTAACATCGTTAGAATACTAAAATTTAATATATCTAAAAATGGAATGACATTTTTAATTTGATATAGAGTGTATTCAAATTTATGATTCAAATTTATTTAAATTTAACTGAGTACTTTTAAAAAGAATAAAATTATAAGTAAAACAATTAAATGTCCATCGTAGAAAAATTACATGATTTAGTAAAAACAAAATAACTCATAAAAACAAAATAATAAGGATTGAGATTTATAATATAGGGATAAAGAGTAAGATTAAAACATCAAATTAAATGTCAAAACAATAAATTCAATATTATTTTTAATAAAAATTAAAATTTATTTCATTAATATATATAGATAAGGTTGGTATTTAATATTGACACAAGTATTAAGATAAAAATTTAATTAAAAATAACATAAACATACTTAAAAACTCTCCTTCAATTGGAGGGGCAAAAAGTTGTTTGGGTGAGTTGGAAGAGAACTTGCAAACCTAAAGAGGCGATAAGGGTTCGGGATAAAAGCTTGGCGAATTTTAACTTAGCACTCTTAGGAAAATGGTGGTGGAGGACGCTGTGTGAAAAGGAGAGCTTATGATGCCGACTTTTGAGAGAAAAATTAATAGGAGGAGATTTAGAGGAGACTAGCTTGAAAAGTGCATAAAGAGGAAAGTTGGTAATGGTAAGACTGTTTCTTTTTGGGGTAAGTCTTGGGTAGGGAAAGGAAGGATGAATAGAAATTTAAGAGATTGTCTGCAATTTCTAAACAAAAAAAATTCCATGGTAAATGAAATGGGAAGTTGGGTGAATGGTGAGTGGGAATGGGATATAGGGTGGAAAAGAAACCTTTTTGAGCGGGAGAAACCTATTATGCAAAATTTTTGTAGTGTATAAACTCAGTTTTAATACAGTTAAATTCGGGGAACTGTCAGTTTTAATACAGTTAAATTCGGGGAACTCGTGGTCATTGTTTGCTTCAGGTGCTTTATCAGTCAAATATGCATATATGTGAAGCTTCAAGAAGTGGAAAATTCTATGGACAAAGTGTTTTTCAAATGTTTCTGGTCTATTCTTGTCCTTTCTAAGGTTATTGCCTATGCATGAAAAATCTTATTGAACAGATACTACTAACAAAAATGGACTAATCTGCGAAGGAGAGGAGTTTTATATAGGATGGTTTTGTAGTTCCTGTCACGCCTATGGTTTTGAACTCTTATTATGCGTGGTCACAATGCTATTATTGGCTATGGATAGGATGTCAAATTGAAATTGTCTTATTTACCTCTAGAGCTTCACAGGAAAGAAAGAAAAGCAGGGTTGGTGGATAAAATGGTTTGCTGCAATTTGGACCGTTTAAAAATGATCGTTCAAACTGTTAGAATTTGGTCCTGCCTTAGAGGTAAGGGGATGGGCCTTTATTCTTCTTTTCTGAGTGGGATCAGGAATCTTTATTGTGCTTGAAAGCTGTGTAATTATTCTCAGAGCTATATATATATGGGTTTGGGTACTCTTGTATTCTCTTTAATTTATTTCTTTCTTTGGCTATAACACAAATTAGTATAACTAATTATTAAAAGTAAACTATATTTTTTTTTTGTAATTTTATTATAAAAGATTTTTTAGATAATTTAAAGTAAATAAATTATCTTAAAAATACTTTCACTTAATATATCTAAAATTAAAAATTATTTAATACATTCAATTATAACAATAATGAATTATATTTATAATTAATTACTTCAATAATTTGTTTTTAATTATTAATCAAACTCCACAATTACCTTTTCAATTTTAAGTTGGGTTGGGGATAGATTTCTATTCTCTTGGTCTTACTCCTCAAAAAATTACAAAATTATTATGCTTATACATAAACTCAATTTGGTGCTGATAATAATGCTAAAAGTGAACAAAGAGATCGAAAGGTTATATATATTTTCCGCCAGTTCTTACCACCCCGCCCCCCCCCCCCCCCCCTTTATGGCAAATAGTTCATATTTATCTATGGAAGGAGCGTACTCCAAGAGATACAGCGTATTAGCACTTTACAAACATAACCCCTGTTCCAAGATTTTGTATCAACTCGAATAATCAATTTACAACTTCAAACTGTGGTAACAAGAGGGCGCTTCTCATCTTTTATTTGAACAATTGCACACCAAAGTAAAACACTTCAAATAACATAATTTCCAAATTATGAATTTAAAAATTACAATCTATAAAAATGATAGAATTATTTAGAGAACCTGTAGTGTATCCACTTGAATTGATAAGGCCTTTGTTGTATTGCTCCTTGACATTGCTCGAGAAGAAAGCATGTTTAACTATTTCACTTACCGTTTCCTCACTCTTGGGATCATGAGAGTTAGCTTTCAAGGATGAATTGAAATCTCCACTTTTGTTACTATTGCTAACCTTTGCTCCATTACAATGAGAACATGCACTAGGCGACCACATACCTGTACGACGCGTTTTGACAACAACCTTACGCAAATCTACACTTGGGTGTTTGAAAGGACCTTCCACTTCAACCACAAAACAATTTTTAATGCGACGAATTTTTGCCGCAACAGAAAGACCAACATCCTTAGTAACATAATAATGTGCCATATTGACCATGTAAGCATTGTCACAGTTAACCTTTTTCTTCATTTCGAGAACAAAAAGACCCTCTCTATAGGAACAACCGTAAGAAACGATAGTAGTCTCTTTTATGTGATCTTGTTTAGCCCTTGTATTGGTCATTGAGGAAACACAAGAATTGATGCCAATTATTCCTCCACGAAGCCCATCAAGACCAACCCTTGTGATCTTCAAAGCAAATTCAGTTTTGCTATCAGCGGAATCACCTAATCCAAAATGTATGTTTTCAACACCATTGTTGTCACGGGTTGCTTTGAGTTGAAAACCACAAGTACGCTTTTTTTGACTTGTTTTGTATTCCACACCCCAAGCCTCTGTGTGATCATTATTTTCTTTCCAATTGCCCATGGAAACTTCAAAAGAGTCTCCCCAGCGTGCTATGGTGCCTTTAGCACCGGCATCGTAAGAAGTGCATTCATTTCCAAGGTTAGTGTGATTACTGTGACCGATTCCCATTGTAAAGATTTGTATGTGTATATGGCTACATTCATATGAGAAAGGTTTGGTAAAATATATATTCAGGTTATTATACCAGAGTCATCAGGCTTTGGAATGAGTTATGAGTCTACACTCATGTGATGGGGTTAATTTGCTTAGGGACCTTCGATTTGTTTACGTGCCTTATGTACGTAATTATATTGTGTAGATATATTATAAAATTGATGTCGGTGTGGCATCTTTTATCGCTATCGCAAAATAAAAGAATCTGATGCCTACATGCGAAAGGCTAGGACCAATCGGAATTGAAAAGATAGAAGAAAGGGCTATTGCCATTTCTATATATTGTTCAAAATGAATAAATAGAACATAATCAAGGAAACTGAACACTAAACGACCAAGGCCATGATCTCGTTCCTTGATTGGTAGGGCACAAAATCTACTGAAATATTTTTTGATCAACTTTAGAATTTAATTTTTAGTTATTTTCTTTTACCTTTTAACTTTTAAGTGTATTTTTAGATGTGTGTATAAAAGTTTAACATAAAGTATAAGGATAATTATATAATATTATATAAAATATATTTTTAATTATTCAAATAATAAAATTATAAAATCTAGTCCAACTTAGCCTCTTTCCAAAATAGAACCTAAACACTAACCTCTGATTTTTATAAATACTAGAATTTGTTTGTTCATGTCAATTTGCATTTTTAATTTTTATTTATATAATTGTATATACATAGCATTAAACTATATAAAGTTTTAGCAAGTTGTTTTTGAAAGGAAAACAAGGGGCGTGGAGGGGGGGGGGGAGAGGAATACTATTTTTAAATTATAATATTTATATAAGTAATTAAAAGACTAATGCCTTAAATTTATATTAATTTTCTAGGAAAAAATTATATTAATTTATTTTTATTCTTAAAATTATAAAATTAGAGAATATTTTTTAAAATAAAAAATAATTATATCATTCCTTTCCCTCTATACTTAACTTTAAAATATATCTTAAACTTTGTATTTGTGTCAACTTCAATTTTAAAAGAGATAGAGTTCTTTTGTAGCCTTTTTTTTTTTTCATTTACAAGGCTTAATTGAAAATATAATATCAAAGAATAAGGATGATAATTTACTCAAAAAAGTGTAACATTATATTTTTAATAATAGAAAACGACTTTTGAAACATAAATCCATTTGCTGGATGCTTGCAAAATTGCATTTGATCATAAAAACCTTTGTACTAAGCTCACTTTACGTTGGTGGACGAATTATTAGTTTGGTGTACTTTATATAAATTTTGATAGATATTCATTTTCTTTAATAATTGTATTGACTATAATGCACTCAAGTAATAGGCATGACAATTATATTATGAGTTAGTGGGTATTTGTAAAAAAAATATGCTCATGATAAAGAAAATTCTATGTTAAACGAATCTTCCTGGATATATGTATTTATTTATAGAAAAGAAGAAAATGCAAGAATGGGTGTAAGTACGAATATCTTATTAGTCACACTGTCTCATATATACATGTTATTTGATATATTAAATTAAAATTAAAAATAATATATTACCGGTACCACTAGTACCTTATTAATAAAATCAATATTATTGCTGATAAAAAAAATAATATTATATAAATCACTAGCTATATGCAATTAATTATCTTATTTTAATTGATATCATTCAAATAATTAATTATATAATAAAAATTATATATGTTATTTTGATTTTAATCATTGCCAGCTATCTCCTTAGTTAATTTTAGCCTCTTCTATTTTTAATTTTGTATTTTTTCCTAGTTGTAGTTAAGTTGAGGTGTTTTGAGATCATTATTGCAAAACGATTAGAAAACAGTTGTCCGAATTGTGAAAATATTGTCACATGAAATTATTGAGTCGTGAGACTTAAGTAGCGTTTGATTTAGAGATAGAGTCACTAGAATAGAGACACAAAAATACTGTATCATGTTTGACTAATATCTTACTGAAAAGACACAAATTTAAAAGATACTAGTGTCCCTCCTAGAAGAAGGGACATTGGTATCTCAGCTCAAGGGGTACAAAGGTTATACTTTTGAATATTAAAATATTCTTAATAAATTTACAAAATTATATATACTATCTTTAACCCTAATTCTTTTTTACATTCAAATATAATATAAAATGTAAAATACAATATTCTATCTTTATTTTCAAATACAATACACAAACTTAAATATTAGTGTATCTGTTCTTTATTATTTTATTGTCTTTGTCTCCATTATTCAGATATAATATCCAAACGCTACTTTAGAGCTCGATTATATGTGATATGAAATTTTTTTGACAAATAGTGTTTGGAGGAGAACTATGACCAACATCTCTAAAATGGTTTTTTTTGGGCTCATTGAAGGGTGCTATTTGTACCCCTAATTTAGTTTCCTGAATGTTTCTTTTGCCCTAGTCCTAGGACCATTTTTCATTCCTTATTTCAAAATATTTTTTTAATATTATTATTATTTTCATTTTTATAATACTGTATAAATCATTTAAATTTTCATATAATCAAATAAATATCTAGAAAAGTTATGCTAGAATATTATCACAAGGAATAACAAAAACTAAATTCCTGAAAAATTCTACAAAATTTTCCGGATTTACTTAACTTCCCTAAATTCTCAAACAACAACGCAAATAAAAGGAAACTAATTAAGACAAAGCAAATTTAAGCAACATAAACAATAGATAAAATATATGAAATATTAAAGTACAAGATATATCAAATTAAAACAACATGCATTTTCTGTTTTAGGGGTGTGAAAGCAGAGGTCGAAAAAGAGTATGACAGAGCAAACGACAAAGCGATGACAACAGAGAGAGGTAAAAGGAAGGTGCACGATGAAACTGCGTAACTCCGTGCATGGAAGAAGGTTTAGGTTAAACTTTCTCAAACCTGTTATGGTACAATCATTCTGTCATAGGATGCATTCTGAACACTTGCCACTCAACATCTGGCATATAAGGGACATGTTGAAACCTGTTTTGAACTTTCATGAGTTCTCCTCACATCACTCGTTGGGCTTAGCTGTTCTGGGTTTTTATTAGGATGCATTCTGTTATGAGTAATATTCTTACCTTACCATATATTTTGTTATTATAATATAATTTTAGCTTCAATATCTCACTAAATTTTTTGTTTTAATTTTTTTTATTTTAATCGCTATATTTTTACAAAATTTTATTTTTAGTCCATATTCTTGAAGCATCAATTTTTTATTAGACTACTACATTAACAAGAGAGATAAAAACACAAAAATAGTTCTTTCGAACAAATTAAAAGAAAAAATAAATTAAATATAATGAACGAAAATATATTTAACTCTTTTTTATATAGAAAATAAGTTTTAGTTAAAAAATAAGGGAAAAGATATTATGAAGTAATTTTTATATCACCTAAATAAATTTAAAAATTAAGAAGAATTAAGTTTGGAAGTCTTTTATTCCTGTGTTTGTATGAGATATTTAAAAAAATATATTCTAATATTTGTTTGAGAAATGTCAGAGCTGTGATACAAGATTTATTTATTTTTAACTACGTACATGTTTGTTTTAAATATATATTTTAAATCAATCGAAGTGAACGACGGCATTTTATTATATCGGATCAAAAAAATTGTTTTTCTTAAAGTAAATGGAATTCAATCAACTTACACTCTTATCAAAACGTCTCTTTCTGTCCAGACACTGGATTCCATGCGGATGCTACTGCTAAAATCAGTGCAGCTTCGTAATTAAGCAAAGCACCGAATGCCCATTGACCGAGGAAGCAGCCAAAAACACCAAAGGTAGTTGTCCTTATTCCCACTATTGTGGGGTTTCGAAACATTACCTGTTCAAAGAACAACAATGGTACCTTTGCTGGTGATGATAACACTAAGCACAATGTTGGTGGTGGTCCATCTATAAATAACAGTGGCACACAACGGTAATATGGACCGCTCAACTTGAAACTTCGGCAGAAGAACTGTATATATATGTTCACCATATATGTTATCTACTGTATAGTTATGTGCTACTACTAATCATAAAACTAGAGCTATATCTCTAATGGTGTATAATTAATAACTACTACAAAAGGAGGATATGGGTATCCTCTGAATAGATAAATTTCCCTTATATGGTTATTTTAAGGATTCAATACTTCCATTATTTAGATATTAATTAAGGCTTAGTTTAGGTAAATGTCTACATCAGTCTTTATGGGAGAAAAAATAAATTTTTTAATAAATTAAAAATAATTTATATTCTTCAATTTTAAAAAATAAATGAAAACTTAAGAAAATAGAAAATTAAATTAAATTTAACTTATAAGAGAAATTTATTTTATTTTAATATTTAATTTTAAACTTCTACAAAAATTTATTAAGAAGTTTATCCGACCTAAACTAAACCTAGATTGATTATTATTCCTTACAATGTTGACAGTTTGTGTTTCTTCGTGTGCATAATTTGATTCCTTTTTGATTAAGATGTTTGTTATAATTGAGGTTCAAGTTTGAACATTATGATCCAAAAAAAATGATTTAAAAAATTAGTAGGCCTCTTGCAATGTGTTTATATTTAGGAAATGCTAATAATATCTTTTATAACACATTCTGATGTCAATATCCAATTTTATTTGAGTCTTCTTTTTTTAATTTTAGGGTAATTTCATTTATTTTTAAAATTAATTTTTACAAAAATAAGAAAAATATAAATAATAAGGGGAAGTGATATATAAAATAATAATAATAAATGAAAACAAAAAAATTCTAGAAGAAGAATAAAAAGGACATAAAATAAAAAATAATTAATTACAAAAAATATAAATAAAATAAAATAAAATTCAAAATGGAGAAATGTGGGCAACTACGCACCTAGCCCTTCCATTACATATATGTCGAAAAAATAGGAGGCAGGGCTTATTTGTCGAAACAATAATATTTGATAAGGTGGGTAGGGTGAACTGATGAGAATAAAACACAATAAAAATT